GTTAGTTAAGGCTGACCACATGGTACAGGATCAGCTTGCACCATCTGTTAAAGAGGAAATACTCCGTACCTCAACTGGTTCTTGCTGATGTCTGCTTCCTCTTGAATCTTCCCACTTTCTTCTTTTTTTGGTCCTCTGTAGGCTAGAAGACTTAACTTTGAAAGCATAACTCATAGCAAAGTCTACAGAGATCATTACTATTACACGTTAGTGTTCTACCATGTAATATGTTTTGTTTGTTTTTTCTCCATGTGTGTGGACCTGGATTTGGGAGCTCTTGTCATGCTCTTCATTAGTCCACCCTGTGAGACTTCTGGTCAGGGACTGAGACCCTAGCATGCTAAGTAAGACTAGAAGGTCAAGAGATCAGGTTTGATTTTTTTTTATTATTGTGTTTTTTAGTGGGGTATGTATTTCTGAGCAGTGTTATGTTGTAACAGGAAGAGCTTTGGATGAATGATAAGGCACCTGTTGCCTTATGGAGGGCACTCCCTTCAGCCGTCTTTGGCACCTGTACCCCACTGAAACTGGCATAGTATCTTCTGAGTGGGCACTGTGTCAGACTAGCAGATGGGCTGGAGCAGAATCTTGCCAGAAAACAGTTTGTGCATCAAGTTTTAAATATTAGAGGCCTGGACTCCCATCTGAGAGTGCTGTAAGAGCAGACCATGCATAGCTTTTCTGCCTGGGGTTAAAGGATGTGTCATACGTATTCCAGCTTGGAGTAATTAACTTTGAAAGTCAAACAGTGGCTTCCATTGCTGTGGAATACAAAACTTTGGCTCTAGTGAATCAAGATTAAGGTTTCATAGAAAGATGAGTAAGAAATATAGTGAAATTTCCTACCACAACTGAATGTTCTTAACTTGGGGGCATTTGCAGTTATCTGCAAAACAGTTTAGCAGTTGAGCACTGTTTTCTACCAAAACCTGTTTAGTTAGGTCTTGTGGAAGATGGTTTCACAAGCACGGTACAGAGGGCTATGTACATGTAATTTGTATAATAAAACTCCTCATTCCTAAAGCTACCTAGAAGAAGAATCTAGGAAAAATCTTATTCATTAACACTGCTCAGAAAAGAGTCTGTCCAGGAAATGCTGATGCATCTTTGAAGTAGCAATATGAGCAGAGAAGCAGGTGTTCCTTAGGCTACGTTAAAAATGGACTGTAAACACCCTTCGGGCATTGAATATTTCAGTTCTTGAAAAATATTGGATATTGCAAAGGGTGGGAGGGGGAAGCAGGTGCTTTGTTCACCTTTAAATATTTGCCTTACTACCCTCTGTATGTAGGAAATATTTGAAATTGTGTGTTAAATAGCAACTGCTACTTTTTGTTTATTTGCATACACTTGGTTTTAGTAACTATATTCCTGTGACTTAGCTTGTTTTTTGGTTTTGGTTTTTTTTTATTGTTAGATGCTCTGAGCAACACTTCCCTCCTGTTTGTCAGCCATTGAATTTAACAGCTCTTGGTTTGACTTAAATGGGGTCAGAATTTTTCCGGCTTTTTATAGATAGCCTGTAACTTCGAAGTTTTTTGCAGAAATAAAAAGTAACCTCAAAAATACCATACTAAGCTGACAATATCACTCTTCAGGATGAGTTAACCAATGAAACAAAGCAAAAATAAAATACCAGCAACCCAAGAACTTATGAAAATGATTTTATTAATGTTTCAGTAGCAAAGACACCAGCTGTGGACAGGAGCAGGGATGTTTTTTCAAACCGCCAAATCAATGCTGTTTTCTTTTCCACTGCATAAACTTTGTCAACAAAACTGGTTCTGTGAGAGCCATTGAAAATATTTCACCATATTCCAAATGTGACTGCCACAAATTAACTGCTAAAACTACAACAAGCACGTTTGAACTGGCAAATAGAATTGGCACGTTTCTTTGTCAGACTGCGTGCAATTGCACTGTGTGGTTGTAGGAAATCGCAGTTCATCTAGAAACACTCTTTTGTTACCGTGTCATATTAACATTTAGAAAGCTACATTAATTAAGATTGTGGCACTCAGCAACAAAACTGATGAAATTCACGATTAAAGTGGATGATAAGACCATAACTGCTGTGCCTGGGTGAAACTGGGGAATTCTGGACATGGGGTAATTTGAGGTAAGTTATTTGCTGTGTTGTGTAGGCACAACAGTTGGAAAATATGGCAAAGAATGTGAATCTTACTGATCTGCTTTATTTCAGAGTGCATTTCAAATGTGTATGCTGTTTGCTGGTATGGTAGCTGCGTTTGTGGGATAAAGGGAAGGAAGGGAAAATAGAGCTGTGCCCTTTGCCCTTTGCAAATGTTTTGTGAGACTCATCTTGGCATGAGACGGAAACAGCCCCAGCCCCCTACACAGCTTCATCTTGTGCCAGTGTTCCCAGTTAACAATTATGCAGACAATGGTTTTGATTGTGTGCATACATCAACACCCCTCCCCCCAAATGTAAGGAGAGTCTGCATCTCTAGTTGAGAAAAGCAACATAAACTGTAAACTCTCACACTTGTTATGCTATTTTAAGCTATCCTTTGCAAACATAATCTCGCCATATAGTGCTCCTGGTACTCTATGTGTGTACTTATATGCCATCAGAGACCTCCTGCCTATCAGCATTGCTCTCCTGCAGGGTCTCTGCTTACTGTCCTGCAGTCTAGCATTTAACTGATTGTAATATTATAAATAGCCATGTGCTACCACACAGAACGAGGCTAGCACATGGCTAATTACGAGTATACAGTAATTAACTATGAGCTAAACTCGCAGGAGAGTATGTGGTGGTGGTCTATGAGGTATGTAATCAGACTGTTTGTTAAACCTTGGGAGCCTTTCCAGTCTGTTAAGTAACTATACATAGTAATGAGACAATTTTTTAAAAACCATTTATGTTTATTTATGGACAAAAAATAGTGTGCCTTATTTCTGAGCTGCGGCTAAAGGTACGCGTGCAACTTCTGCTTATGTGTATGTATGAGATTAATTGTCTAAGCATTATGTGCGTAAGAAGTATAGAGTGTTATTCATCGTGAATGTTATGCCTTGTTTCATGTATGTGCAGTGAAAACAATAATACCATTCCTCCTTTTGTAGATTTGAATGTCATGTTACTAAAGGATTTGTTCCTTTATCTTGTTGAGCTTTGTCTGACTCTTCTTTCTTCTCACATTGTAACAATTTACAGTTAGATTTGGGTTTATTTTTCTTCAGGATGTTCTTTCAGTGTGACTCCAAAAAGCATCCATGCCGGCATGGTGTAAGAACCATGGGGGTTAGGCCCTTTTGCTGGGCTAGTTCCTGTTAATTGCTCTTCTTCATTACCCTGACAGCTGTTACTGTCTGTTCCAGATTACCATGAATGAGGCCTCTCTTTAGAAAATGTCACGATGTCTACAGGGAAGTTAGATCAGACTCTTTCAAATACATTTAAATTTGATACTTCTCTATACCTATCAAACTTCTGTTTAGTAACTTCATATTAAAATACATTTTCTTACACACAAGTCCTTTTCTGATCTGTGTCAGTAAGGGAGCACATTTAATTCTGTTTGGGTAATGTGATGTTGGTGAATACAATGAAAACACATGGGATGTGTTCCTTTTAAACTAGCGTCTTCAGCTATTAACACATAGTCTACATGTGGCGGAGAAAAATAAAGACTTAGGCACCTGTGCCTTAATTCCCCAGTTCAGTACAGGAATACGGTAAGAACGAAGTTTAACAAAATTTCCTTCCTAGTTGTATGATAGTTTTAAATTGCATTCTGAGTGTGACTGCTACTTGTCTGAGTCTATGGATAGTTCACACCTTCTAGAGCTGCTGTTTTAGGATATGTTCATTTTATCTTAATGTGTTATTAGCACAGAAGCATTCACATGGGGAAGTGCCAAGCAGAAGGCAGTTGGGACACTGCTGGTGTTTGGGGTGTGTATGCTGCCAGGTTCAACCCAGATGCTGAATAAAGTTGAAGGAAGATGGCAGCTGAAGGAGTCTGTTCATTGTAAAAATATTTTTATGCTCTTGACCATCAAAAAATGTGAGCTTGAATGGTTTGATTAGATCCAAGTTTACTTGATTTTTATTATGTGGATAAAAGTATTCTATTTTTGTGTGTGCTGATAGTTGAAGTGTTTCACACCTGGACTGTTGTTGGTATTTGATCATTGTAAGAAGTTTAAAAGGGACACTTATTTCCTAGGAACTGTATTCTTTTTAGTTTTTTTTCAGTGATGATTCTAAAAGATGATTTAGTCTCATTAAATTTTAATCCCAGTGTAGCTCCATGTAGCTTCAGTAGTATCAGAGAAAGCTGATAGTTCTCTCAGGGTCAGAAGAAAATAGGATTGCATTGTCTGTGCAGAGAGGTTCTGTCTCCTGGGCTGTAATTGGCACCTGTGGTCAATTATTGTTTTGAAATCTCTACTTGCACTAAGAGGCACAATCCCTCATCTCCCCTTTTGGCAGGTGTGGCTGTGCTATCCCTAACTTAGGCCAATGTCTAAATAATGTCAGAATAGAAATCAAGGTTCTAGGGCCAAATTAATTTGTAATAGAGGAAAGCAGACAATCCTGTCTAGAGGCATAATGTAGGTCATAACTTTTAAGTGGTGTCTTTGTCACGACAGTGGATTGACAGCAACCAAATACAGAGGTTATCCAATTGACTGGAATGGCTTAAATGTAGTCTGTTATAATGGAATACCTCATTGTGGTGCAAACGTGCAATGGGGACATCCTGCTTACTCCTTAATTAGGGATAGAGTTCTGAAAATGTGGGTTAAAATTGCTTCTGTACTTGTTGATTAAAACTTCAGTGTGTGTGTGTTGTTTTCATTGTGCTATTCTTTGAACTTGGCAAAACTCTGACCTTTAAAAGCAGGAATTCAGAAAAAATGTTAAGCGTCTTTTTTTTGGGTCACCTTATGCAATGTTAGCTTGGTCTTTGTTTGCAATTACATTTTGTTGCATATGGCTTGATCCTCATCTTTCTCTCATTTTGCAGCTTCCCCTCAAATTCATGTTCCTGTAGAAGATGATGCAGTGCATGTAATTAAAGTGGTAATGTGTAGATCTCATTTCTAAATTGTTAACTTGTATGCAGTTCTTTCTCTTAATTATCTATCCTTATTTTTGACATTGGGTCTGTATTGCATGCTTGTGTTTTTTTCCCCCTGTTTTTTATATCTTGATAGACTTTCCCTGCTTGGGGATATATTTGGCATTTTCATGACACACAGTATCTCCTTGACTTGATTCTTTCCTTTCCTCGATTACTGCCCTCAACAGTTTAGTAAGGAAAATCAGACTATGAACTTAAACATACCTGATCTGCAATGTTTCTGAAAATAGTGTCTTAAATAATTTCTGGAAGAATCTGTGGTGTTTATGAAACTGTGTTGCCAAACAACTTTTCTTTTTAGCTACTTACTAAAATTACATTTCAGATGGCATGGTATATGGGACGTGGGGAAGAAAAAAAAGGATTCCATCCTCTTTGAACTTTTCATACACTTTTCTTTAGAAACTGTTGTGTTTGCAATGCATTGTATGATACTAAGTTTGTTTATTTCTCAATAGGAATATCTTGAAAACGGCCCCTTATTTTCTGAACTGAAGTTTTACCAGAGGGCTGCAAAGCAAGAGCATAGTAAGTAATAGATCAGTTCTGATCAGATAGATTTAAGGACAAGTTTGGGTTTAACTACTTCTGATAACAACTGTTGCTTCAGGGCCTGGTAGCAGATTTATTTCATATACACTGAACTAATCCTGGTTGGTGCTATAATAATTTTAGGTTGCTATAGGTTTCTTTACTTGGATATCATCCTTGTCCTTTCTGATCAGAAGGGAGAACAGAAGCATGCCAAATTGATTATGTGCACACTTCAGAGTGCACGACAATGAATGGACTCCAGAGAGAGGCCAGCCTTGGAACAGAGGTACTACGTGGATTAATTGGTGACCATATTTCTGCTAGTAACTATTTCCATGGGCAGAGCTAAGAGTGTGTGTAATCGTCAGAGGATTTAGTAGTAATCAAGGCACTTGATTTTGCAGACACTTAGGCATTGATGTGATTTATTCATGGGAACTGTCCTGAAGACTTTAGATGACTTAGATTGCTGGTAGACATAAGCACTTTTGATAGCTTGAAGCATTCTGTTTTGAATAGAGTAGGGAATTATTTCTTCAGCTATTGATAATTGCTTATCTGCCTTCTAAGGGAACAAACTACCACGTTTCTAGAACAAAAAAACTGCTTCTTATTTTGGAGAATGTAGAGAACTTCACAGTAAAGTTATGGTCTGAATTGTTTGCTACACAAACTGCCAAATAAGTCCTATTTGTTTCATTGTTTTGTTCAAAGTCTTGGCTTGATAGCTAAAACAAAAAACAACAACAAAACCCTACACCAAACCTGAAATTCTCTAGCTACCTTTAACCCAATGTTATCTTTTTATTGTTATTACAGTAAGAAGATGGATGAATCTCAAAAAAATAAGATGTTTAGGAATTCCAGTGTTTTGGGGATCGGGCTTGGCTGAGTACAAGGGAAAAAGGTAATAAGAGGAATTGTAATTAAGCCTCAAATTGACTGAAGATCTATTTTCAGCAAAATGGAGATATATCCTTTCATCTGACACAAACTTGCAGTCTTGTCTTAAAGGATTCCTCCCTTTTATATATTTCCTGGTAGCTATAGATTCATGGTCATGGAGCGACTGGGGGAAGACCTTCAAAGAATCTTTGAAGACTGTGGAAGCAGATTTAAGAAGGAGACTGTTCTGCAACTTGGGGCACGAATGGTATGTACATGGAGAGGAAATTGCTATGTTTCAAACTTGTTGAATTCAACTAGAAAATTATCTTTCTAATATAGTTCCTAAGGGAACTATAGTTCCTAAAGGTAGCTGTTGAGTTCAGAATTAAATGTGTAAATGCTATGTATTTTCTTATTTTTCATCTTTTTTTTTTTTTTTTTTTTAAATGAGAATTAAGTTGAAAATCAAGACCCCCTGCAGGCTGGAAGTTGGTGGGCTCAAACCAAAATTTTTTCTAATAGGTTAAAGCATAGACCATGCACTTCAAAATGTATGTCTAGGCTGAGATGTGTACGCCTATTCTCATATGCTTTAACATGTATTGATTTTTTTTTTTTTCCAATGTCTGAAGGGTATTGTATTAGACATCTATATTTGTCAAAGTTCACAATTGCATGCCTGAATGCAAAATTTTCAGTGTGTTTGAATGCACTGACTGTACAGGCCAAGATTAGGCTAGTCTGCAAATGCCAGTTTTGTTTTCAAATGTGTGTAGACTGGCAGATACTAACTGAAGATTTTATGTGTGTTTCTTTGTAATATCATCTGTGTTGTGAAAAACTGCTGTTGGTGAACAGAGGCACACAGCAAATGGAGTAGAGGCAATGGTCATAAGTTGCAAAAAGAGGAACTCTGGCTGAATATAAAGGAAAGGTTTTCACAGAAAGAATGTCTTAGCACTGGATCATGCTTCCCAGAGGTTGTGGAACGTTCATCCTTGGGGACTTTTAGAATTTGACTATTCATTCTCTTGTACAACCTGATCTAACTTACGTTAGTCCTGCTTGAAGCACGGGGTTTAAACTGGACATCTCCGAAGTATCCTTTTAATCTAAATAATAATAAAAAAAAAGTGAAGGGCTTTTGTAGTTGCATGATTGACAAACTTGTAACGCTGTACTCTCCAAAAGCCAGGATTAGATTGCGTAATTGCCCTTTGTATGAGTTGCCAAGTGCAAACGTGGTTTTTGTAACAATTAGAGCTATCATACCTCAGTGAGGTGCTGGAGAAGGATGATGATGGGGGGCGTTGTGACATGAAATGCAGGTCATGTCATAATTGGCAAGATCAAATATATTATAAACCTTCAGGGCTGATTGAATATGTTCATTTTAAGAGCTGGGTGTTCTCAACAGTTCCTCCAGTGTTTATAAAGTACTAGTTTCATTCTTGTGTTGTGAGCTTAGAAGCTGGTACTCATAGGTAGTTGCACAGGGATACTCGTGGCAAAGTATGGCTTATTTATGATTTGCCATCAGCTATGTGCCTGGTGGGAACAGACCCCATGGACAGAGTAGGCAGTCCTTGGGCTCTACCTCAAAACTAATTTGTCAGCTCAGTCTGTGTAGCCCTTGATTTCACTGTATAAGTGAGAAATATTTGGTGATAAGGTTAGGGACAGATGATGATGTTTTCTTTTTTGTTCTAAATCCTTTCCTAGTTGGATACTTTGGAATACATACATGAAAATGAGTATGTTCATGGTGACATTAAAGCAGCAAATCTACTTTTGGGCTATGCCAATCCACATGAGGTAAGCATGCTTACTTATCTACGCTGTTACTCTAGTGTGTTTGTAACTGTTTAATAGTTTTATATATAGTCTGTGTTTACAATTCACATATTAAAAGAAGTTTATGCATCAACATTCACATCCTCTCATGACAAATCTGAGAGTGGCTCTGTGGAGCTTAAGGTCTGAGAAAGGAGGAGGACAAAATTCTGCTTTGTTCCCTTTGTGCTCTGCTGATTGGGATAGTGGTATGGACAGGTAAGCTAATCAAGAGATTAGTTAGAGAACCTAATTGCTGTTCGAGGTTATGCCAGTTTATTAGTAGAGTTGAAGGATGTGGCCCATTGTATTTTCATTCTTGGAAAGTTCTAGCTTTCTAATATTGTCATGAATTGTGTTTCCATGGCACTAACTCTTATGTCCTGCACATTGTAGTGGATATAGCAGGTGAGTAGGATTAAGATTGCTGCTCTCTAACACTTCAGAGCCTAAAGCTAGCCTTGAAACAGAAGTGTTTTGGTGGAATGTTTTGAAACAAATCTTTTGATCCTTTCACACTCTACGTGCTCTTACGATGTCTTTTTTTTCTTCAGTTAATAAAATCTAAGCAGGCTTTTTTCTTGGAAAAAATGTCATTTAGGGGAAAAGGACATCTCTAACTTCACCTAAATATAATTAGCTGTAAGCAAAACTTCTCCTTTTCTTTCAATTTTTGTTTTTCTACTGCAGTGATGAAGAAACAGATCTTGCAAGACAGCTTGCTGCCATTGGAGGTTGAACCATTTAACTATATCTGCTTTTTTACAATTTTCAAGTTAAATGGTTGATTCAAATTTAACTTTTGAGCTTTCTAAAACACGTAGTTTGAAAACTATCATGAATGTTTAAAAGAGCCATGTTTTTAGAGAGTGGTAGCAGCTAGTACATAATCTCAGTTTATGGTGTTTACCAGCCTGCTGAATCCAAAGGAGGAGGCTATTTAGAGGCAAAACGATCTGCTACCCAATCCCATTAACATAACTCAAATGACTTTTTTTTTTGTCTTGGCTGTTGTGTATTTTTATGACAGCAAGATATGCTGCTGTTTTTCACATTGAAATAATTTTGGAAGTGTCCATTTACAGTAATCATAAAATTTTAGGACATGTAGCTGACTTTGATCAGCTGCTTTTGGATTAGCCAGATTGTGATGTTCTGTCTTGTTTCTCATGTTGCCTGCATGAAGATTGTGCTACTAGTATTTTGTTTTCACGAGTAGTATATTCATTGACAAATTAAAAGTAAGGTATTTGTGAGTTACTGGACAGAGGTTAACAAGTTATGTTTATTAAATAAAAGAAATCAATAGATATTCCAATTTAAGTAGCTTCTGGCTCAACACGTACAAAGTGTATGTTACTGCTGAGGTTTTGTGCAGAATTTTTTTTCAGTAAAATTTCTTTTCCACTGAAATAATTCTAGAAAACCTTTTAAAAAGTTCAAATTTTAATTCAGAAGAGCTAACAGGAAAGAATTTCTATATCTGCTTGCATTTATAAGGTATGAATTAAACTTTCGTTTCTGTATGCTTAAGAAAACTTAGAGCTCTTCAGATATTAGTCGGGTAAGCTTCCCAGAAGCTCAGAAATTCTGCAAGCGTCCACAGGTCTGCTGGTTTCACCCAGGTAACTATGTCATACCAGTCTAGAGCCATGTAGACAGTGATGATTATTTCTAAATTTATTTTAAGGTAATGTGTACTATATTTAGCTTACAGCAGGGCAGATGTCTTAATTGGACTGTTTCTGGTCACATAAAAAAATTATATTCCAGACACAACTTGCACTGTATCTTGAAACACATATGCTCTGTGGTTTGCAGGGCATGAAAAGAAGGAATAATCTCACCAACACCACAGCTAAAACTTTCAAATTGGCAGATCTACATAGGCCATGTAATTGAATGTCCTTCCCCTGGAATTGTTGCCTCTGATGTGCTGTCTGCCCCTGTGTTTCAATAAATGTACTTTACCTGAGTTAGGAACAGTACTAGACAATACCCTCACACAGATTCAGGTATTCAGAACTCTGCATGTGTACTTGCACAGATGATTTTGCATTTGTCATGTCCTGGCTATTTGCATGTGCTATTGATTTGCATGTAATTTTGCCATGAAAGTTGCTTCTTCCTATTCTAAATGTGTCCAGTTCCTATGTAAGATTTCATGATGTTGTGACAGCCTTTTCTACAAATCAAGCTGTCTTTGTAACATGCTAGTGAACTGAATGTATTATGTATTTACCAGAACAGTGTTTCGGGAAGCTCTGTGGAACATTACCACTGACTATATATGACAACAATGTGGAATGTCCTGTCCGGTATCCTCTAAACTGTTGTTGGAGATGCTGTATTTTAATTTGGCAATCTTGTACTAACCTTGAGACACTTCAGATAAAACCTCAGACACTGTTATTGCTACCAAATGCCTGTGAAGTGTTTTGTCCAACCTTCTCTCTCTGTTAAAATGGGAGATAGCTAGATTGCCTTGGTCTTGTTTTTTAAAACAACGGAACTGGGAGCTGAAGTGATCAAACTAATCTCATAAATAGGGAGTGAGAGCATCTAGCCAGCAGCAAACTCAAGCTCAGGAATACAAGCTGAGAGACCTGTAGCTCCATTGGGAGTTGGCATAATAAAGCTGTCTGGCCTAACCATTTCTGTTGTGAGTTTTTTTTCTTCAGAATTTTATGCTAGTGGGTTCTTGCTCTTTAGGGCCTAGGATTTTAAGAGAAAATAAATTGCAGATGTTCTTTAATTCTAGAAATTTGGTTTTGAAAGAAGCTCGTATCTAATACCATAAAATAATATATATACACACTAAAAGTGTATTTCCATATGCTGTTTTGGTGAAGAGGTAGAAATTTCTGTTCAAAAAAAGCCTGTGTACCTTTATACTCAACTTTGTCATTTAGTGGCTGTTCATGTGTACCGTTATGTGTGAATTTGCCGCTGACTTCCTGCTGTTCCAAAAAAGAACGTTTTTCTATGTTAGACTTTCTGCTGCCATGCTCTCTTCTGTAAATTAACCTGGTAAATTTACACCACAGCCAATAAATATCATAGTCCCCTTTTTGAAAGAACATGTGAAATCCATACTGCTATCCCCTACCTTCTTTGGCAAGGCAGAGAAACAAATAAAGTAAAGGTCCTGTCACTCTGTGACCTCCAAATGATGTTTAGAAATGGTTAGAAGATCAGAATCAACTGACCTCAAAGAGCAGCTTGCTGCAGATCTATTCAATAGAAGGGAGCGAGGCCATTCAGTGAGTTACAGGTCAAAAGATCAATTCTCTAGTCAATATGTTTCTGAACATGGACCCAGCACAATGACTGACAGAATAGGAGTGATGTACTGAGGGAAGTACACAGCCCATGAATCTTGGAGAGGCCTGAAAGAAAACTTGATCAGACCTATAAATTACAGAACAAGTGAAGCACTGTCTCAGTATTGCGGTCACTTAAAGATAATTCGGTGCAGAGTAGTAACTGTATGTATGACGAAGCAGAATAAGCATTATTGATATAGACTCTAAAAGAGAAATTCAAATCCATTAAACTCATTTAAATAGTGATACTATTAAAAGGGACAAGCAGTCACTAGACAAGAGCTTAAAATCAGAGTTTTTAAGAAATTAAATAAGGTTTGGAAGAGTGCCCCTTCAAAACAATTACCTTGTACCATTTTCTTTTTTTCTCCCCCGTGGAATATATGGGCAGACATGCTGCAATGTTGCAAACTCAAGGCTGTACCTAAAGTTGCCTATTTGGATTTTTAAGCTGTAAGTTTTAATTGCATTTGCACCTCAGTTCTGATTTTGATTTTAAACATTTCTTAGACAAGATGGTTACAGAATAAAATGCTCAGACTTGATTATTGTAGATGGCCTTAACCGAAAAGGAAAAAAGAATACAAAGTGTTTCACAATGTTAACTTTTAAGACCGGCTTTCAGTGGACTAGCATAGAAGATACAGAGCTCTTGCATTGATCAAATGGGAAAAACATGCATGAAAACTATTAAACTTTAAGCCATTTTTCATTGTGAGATGAATGATTGTGATTCTTGCTCGTTAGTCCAGTATGACAGATTTGCTAAAGAGCAGATGAATTGAGAAAAATGAAAATCTTTTCTGTCCTCCCTCACGTGTTTTTAGGAAGGATACAGTATGCAAAGATACCATACAGAAACAGTTGAATTTTAACTCGTGGATGCTGGCTACACCCCTAATCTAAGATATAGCTTCACAATCAGATGGCCTTAATTTTCCTTCATCAGTCCCGCTACATTTGGATAGAACTGTTTATTTTCTTTAGTTTCTTTTTGTAGTAATGTCCCAAATATCTTGGACTTCAATTGATTCCAGCATTGGCACTTGCTACTGCTAAGTCACAGAAGATTTCTCCCCCTCTCTCCTTTGTTTAACCTGCTTTCCTCCTTCCTTGGCTTCTGTTTTGTGAAAGATGCTATTTCTGTCCCAAACACTATACTTCAGCCTTCCTGTTCCAAGATGGACTTTGGTCCACTTTTAACCTTTTTGTAGTGTAGTGTCCAACTGAAGTTGACAGCACTATGGCCGTTGGCAACAAATCTGCCTCTTATTAGGTAGGTATCTACTTAATTATTTACAGCACGTTACATAAGCCTAGTAATGGGACCACTGGAAAAAAAAAATACAAAGAAAGTCACTGTGGTGTTATCCTTTCAGCGATAAATCTCCTGCTGTGTGTACTTCAAGATAAAGAGAGTACCATGAGAATCCAAAGTGCCAGACTTCCCAGATCAGTGCAGTTATATATCATAGTGTATACAAGTTGTAAGAATTTTATATGTTTAGCAGATATTTAGCACTTTAAATATAAAGCACTGAGAGGGAGTCATGCACAGAAAGGACAAGACGACTGCCGAATCTACGGCTGGTTGCTTGTGCACAGAAATAATTATTTGTGCCTGTGTGGCTGTTCGCTTGAAATAAGATGGGCACATTCATGTTTGCATGAAATTAAGTGCGAAGACTTTAGAAATCTGGCTCCTAATCTATAACAAAATCTATTAATAACAGACCGTGCTAAACACTGCTGAGTCTAGTGCAGTCTGGGATGTGTAAAAAAAAAAAAAAAAAAAAAAAAAAAAAAGAGAGAGAGAGAGGGAGAGAAACTTGAACAAAAAAACAAAAACAAGAGTTAAAATAAGTGAATGTGAGGGAAGGAGTGTACAATGTAACACAGCTAAAGCCAGCTGTTCTAGGCTTATGTCACTGTTGCACCTTCAGCATCCATGTTACCATTTCTTGTTTCAAGTGTCTTGTTTATCTTACTCTGCATATGTTTTGTTCTGTTTTTGTTCGTATTTGTTTTGTTGTTCCTAAAAAAAAGCATGCAGATGAAAAATATTTATGCTATTGAAACACATACTAACACAATTTTTCTCAATATTCTTTAATGCTCATCTTCTTTCCCCCCTCCCTATACCCTTAAAAAAAACCCCAACAACTTACATACTCCTTAACTACCCCTACCCACCATGTTCTGAGCAAATTTGAAAGGGCACGTTGTGTTACATTATCAAAAAATGACAACTAGCTATAAAGAACTATATATCTTTTTAATGATGAAAGAGTTATAATGAGAATTGATGAAATGAAATTAATGGTAATTTAAAATAATGTAGTTGTTCTGATAATGGTTGTGGCAAGGTTGTAACAGTGCATTGCTGGTTTTGTGCAAGCTGAAGGGGATTGATTTTTGTTGGTGGCCAAGAGGCTTTGCCTTGAGAGGCTACCATTGGTTGCATGTTTGTGGAAAAAAAAAATTGGTGTGAAAGTTTTGGAAGTGATAAATGGCTCAGCTAGAAGTAAGCTGAACAGTGGCACTCATGACCAACTTCTGGAGCAAACTGTGGTGCAATCATAGATGCTGTTGCAATTGCATGTGAGCGGCTTTAAGAAGTGATTGCTTCTTGGTTTTCCAGGTCTTGCCACCATCAGTCAAGGCAGGGTAACCTAAAGCTACTTCTCACTTTTAGAGGAGTTTTTCAGTATAAATTTCAAACTGCTCTGCTGATACTACTGAAGGTATTTTAAGCAAATCTGTTGTTTAAAAATGGATTAAGAGCACATAGTTACTGTGATTTATCTGTAGGATAACTGGTGACTTTTTTCTATAGTTCCAGTTTGACTAGCAAATATTTGTGGCTACTTTCTAGCTGCCCTGTTGTTCAGATAGTTTGAAAGACCATCAAGGCTGTGCTGCCATATGGGAGTGTCTATCACATAAGCTAGCGTTCCCAGCCCAGACAGAACCAGAGTGCTGGCAGAGATGCTTTTCTTGTATTGTTTTTTCTAACAGTTAAAATCTCATTTTACTATAAGGCATAGCCTGAATTTTTAAAGGTTGAAATCTGCTCTGTATTTCATCTTCTTGTTTCTGGTCAACTGTATGTGTCAGAAATCTATAGTCAAGTAAAATCCAAATTGTACCACTTTGCCTGGGAAGAATACACCTCCTAGCCTACTCCCTCTCCTTCCCAGCCCACAAAGGATGCACAAGAGTTGCTAAACTTGATATTAGGGTAGTTTAAATTATTTCTCTCACACCGACTGTGGGCTCAATTAGGACAGGTACCAGAGCATCAGGAATACGCTGGAGAACGGATGAGGAGAAAATCAAATCGGTCAACCCAACAAAGTTTATGCCTTGTCCCAGATTTTCTAAATGTGCCTACGGTCTTTAATCTTGTATCACAGTTTGTATAGTCTGTCAGGTGAAAAACATCATCAGTAATCTTAAAAGCCATCACCCCGCAGGAAGTGAGTGCTGCATCCCAGCTTACACGCTCCAAATAAGCACAGATCCTGCAGCAGAAACAATAAAACCAGGAGACCAGCCATCCCAGGATTTGAAGCTGCCTGGAGCACAAACAGGAATCAGTGGTTCAACGGAACGTGCTACGAAATAATGCGTTAAGTTTTCTTGAGGGTTTTTTGTTTGTTTGTTTTTCCTCCACCAGGAGTGACATAATTAGAAGTGAGTGCCAGAAGAGTTTATTTTAGACGTTTAAGGCATATACTGTTTTTTAGCTAAAGAGGAAACAAACCTAAGGTTCGAGTAAGAAAAAGTTTTTCTTTATAATATAGTATGATTTAGTAGAAAAGATCTCTCTATGCCTTCAGATGGTTTAGCTTTTGCCCCAGAGATCAGTTCCATTGGCAATATAATAGCAGTCTGTAGCATTTTTTTTTTTAAGTACTATACTTGGATATTTATAAAAAAAAAAAAAAAAAAAAGCAATTACCTAATGTGAGAACTGGTCAATGTAAGGAGCAAAGGCCAGGTGGGAGTGTGAAAATGACAGAGTGAGAAAATAACCTATGGGATATTGTGGGGTGGACAGATTGTGATTAAATTCCAGCTGCTTTCAACAAGTTACTGCTTGTCAGCTGCGCTGCAGTAATTGACCATGTGCATGTATTAAGTCCACCCCTGTTGGAGCACAGAACATGTTAATCTGAACTTCAGAGAGTGGTCTTGTGCCCTTAATCTAAATTATGTGAGTGGCAGAATCGACACGGATGCAGTACTGTCTATGCTATGCCTATAGAGAAATAGAGGCGCAGGACCCAGATGGCATGTTCGGGTTTGTCTTGACAGGCAGCAGGAGAACACAAAGTAAAATTCGGCTTTCCTGAGCTGTTCTGTTTTCAGCTTCACATACCATAAAAGTAAGCAAGACTAAGTTTAAAGTCAGTCAATACTTGCACAGTTCAGTCCTAAGAACGTGCAAGTGCATCTCCCAGATATGTCATTGAGAACTGTGCAGCTTCCTCCCTCTGGTTATTTAGGTAGCTATAGTGAAGCATCTTGGGGGGAAAAAAAAAAATCACCTGTGCCAGGACGGAAAGGTAAATGTTGCAGAATGCATGAGCTTGCTACAATATACATGGTGAGGGCCCAAATGTCTTTTTCCTTTTAAACTGATTTAGCTCCATGGATTTGCTTCAGAGTAACTGAGAGTGAAGTCTGCCTCTGTGCCTTTCTAAAATTTATATTAAATTCAGGGGCGATTTATTAAGATTGCTTTCTGGATTGGGGAGCGGGCTAGTTTGTTTTGCTTTGTTTTGTCTTACACTTTATATTTAAATAGTTGTTGCCAGTAAGAAGTTATTGACAGTGACATTGAAAAAGAGGAGACTACAGTTAGGCTAATGCCCAGCAGCCCTGTGGTCACAGTCCCTGTTAGTGCTGGAGCCCTGTGTCCAGTCCAGCTGGAGGAAGCTGCTGTCTCTTGCTTCCTCTGCGGCTTCTAAATTGCACTGCTGTTATGAAATAGTACGGTCTCAGCTACTGGAAAATCTGAACAGGGATGCGTATGTGCCTGTTTGAGTAAAGAGAGGAAGGGGTCCCATAAGCAATGTGAGGATACGTAAAAGGCATATTGCAGTTTACGGTGTCTGGATGCCCACCTGGAGAGGAGAGAGCTTAGGAACAAAATAAAAAGACTGAAATTCTGCTCGACTCTGAAATAAGATAAGAGTATAGTAGTGGAAGGATTTAAATGGGGAGGGCAGCTGTTATAGCCCCCAGTTGTACGTATTTTATCCTGAGGCACCATTTGGTTTAATAAAATTTAGATCTAAGGCTGTCCTTAACCTATCAGTTTCTTAAGACTTAATTATAAAGGTTATACTTTCAAAGGACAAAAGCATTATTCATTTGTCTGTTCATGTCTTCCAGGTTTATCTTGCAGATTATGGACTTTCCTACAGATATTGTCCCAATGGGAACCACAAACAGTATCAGGAAAATCCTAGGAAGGGCCATAATGGGACAATAGAGTTTACCAGCGTAGATGCTCACAAGGGAGTAGGTAGGTTTCTTTTTTTTTTTTATTTCAGAGGAGTGATTACAGAATGACTAATCAGGCTGTGTGAGCTGATGTATACAATAGAAGTAGTCTTGGGGATTACTCTGGGTTGATCAGACCCTTGTGCGGTGACCTCTTCTTGTACCTGGGAACGCTTCTCCAGGGCTGGTGGGGAAAGGCGGGGCAGTGCGATTAAAATGGAAAGGCTGCTGCACCTATGGTACTGGAAGGTGGACCAAGACACCCTAAGAAGAGCTTGCCATTAAACTTGATTAGTTCATGTTGGGAGTACTGGTTTGTGTTTGCTGTACTAGGCAGAGGCAGTATTTGCTAATGTTGCATTACCAAGGAAAAATGTTTCGAGACTGCACTGTCCTTTAGGGAGAGCTGTGTCTGAGTGTCACCATCTGTGTTATGAGAGGATATTTCAAGATGACATTCCTTCTGCAAGGAGAAAAACCTTTTTTTTTGAAGCCATAAAGTGTTAACTTTTTGAAATCTTTTTCCAGTAGCCTTTCATATATCTTACTTATTTAAACTCACTTTGATGGTATTGGAAACACATTTGCAGGTAAATTACATACATAGTCCTTTTATTGGATATTGATTGTACTGCCTTGCATTCCAAGGCAGACTTAATTCAACAATTCCCTAATTAGTTAAAGTCATAACCTATGTCTTGTATTCATTTACCATTAATTAAACCTTAGCTGTTTATTACACTGCAGTCCAAATCCAATAGCAGACCCATAGAGCCATGGAAAAGGGAATGGGAGGTCAATATCGAAAATATATGGTGCACAGTCCCACTGATGGCTGCATTGTTCACAATCAATATGGTCAATGCAACACAACTTTCTTAGTTGCTATGTCAGCAAGACAAAAAGTCAATTCTAATGTTATGCTAGTGAAAAAAATGGTGATTATTGAAAAACTTTGACTCTTGCTACGAAACAGTGTTTTTGTTAACTTTCCTTTCCCCTATTCCCCCCCACCCCCCCCCCCCCCCCACAACCCACTTCTCCTGTAAGTGCAATAGGGAATTCAACAAAAGGAATGGTTTTCTGCTGCCAGCTTTGCTGGGATCATAGTGTCACGAGCGATAACTGTAGAAATTTGTGCTTGTTAATAGCTGCTGAACTGTTACCTTAAACTAATACTTTCTAACGAGTTTTAGTTGGCACAAACAACTGTATATTATTGCTTTTTCTATTAAAAGGACCATTGACCATGTAATGTAGAGGGTCTTGATAATTTGCCGGCGCTGTTAAAACCTGCAATCGTTTAACTCTGGTCATTAGGAAAAATGAAATAAGACTGTCAAGTATTTGCTGCTAAGACTATTGCACAATTTCACCTGCTAGAAAATATTTTGTGGTGAAGAGGGTATCTGCTTCAGACTCTTCTAGCCCTCCCAAGAGTACAGTGCATTTTCTGGAGATCTGACTCTGGCTGTTTTTCCTGGTAGTGTGAGGGATGTGGTCGTGTACTAGTATCTGATGTGGATGCTGTTTGAAGAACAGGTGGAAGCTGGAGTATTTCGGATTTGGCAGTTGGATAGTTAGAGCAGCTAGTTTGTCTAGTGGAAGGGTGTCTGTGGATGTGTATGTGATTACAGGACAGATAGTTCCCCTTATTTTAGAGAGTAGGGGTATTTACAGACTTGGGTGGCAAAGGGTGTGCACTTGCAAGTGTGAGTTAAGTTGTTGTCTTTTGTAATCTGTGGGTTAGATTACCCCCTCAAATAGCTAAAGCCGTGATGGAATTGGTGAAAAGCAGAGGACTCCAGAAAACAAAATATTCGGGAAGATAGCTTGAGGGAGCTTACCCCCATCTCACGCTTGAAAATTTTTTTGCTTACTGATAGCTGCAAACAGAAAAGCTGCAGATTTTTCTGATGCTTCTCCCAGAAAAGCTTGCAGAACACGATGTGATACCTGGTATGTTGCAGAGAATCTAAGCTATTTGCATCAAATGGCTCAGCTCTGACCTTGTAACAGCCTGAATCCATTAAGGTCAAATTACCAGAGTTTCCCATTTGCAGCAGGTCTCTCAACATCCCAGGGAAAATACGCATCTGCAGCGACTTCTGTTGGAGATTGCACAGGTCTGGATGGCAGAACACAGCGGCTGGTTTCCCTTGTCTCATCTCTTGTTGTGAGCTTTGGAGTTGTGGAGATGTTTCCAACAGTTGTGGCAAAGGGCTGCTTTGCTTAAGTCTTCTGTACTCCCGACTCATGATTGAGTCTTGGCACAGTCTCATGCACCGAGTGAGGTGGGGTGCTCTTCTGAAAAGTGTTTAAAGACTGTTTTGCTGTTGGCAAATTAAAGCTGCATAGACCGCCTTCATTGTGGTGTTCTCAGGGTGGAATATTTATTTCAATGCTTTTGGAATATAGTTCCCATCTTTAAACGTTATTTTATATAAATGAGATGCTTTCCAGAGGGCATTTCCTGAGTGTACATAGCAACATAAATATATCTCAAACCTCAAAACCCCTGAATAGTACCAGTTGCTGTATTGAGCTAAACAAATGAGAACATTCTGACTTATTCATAAAGTACCTACCTAAAGATATACAGCGATTTGAGGGACATGCTGAAACTTAAAATTATGAATCTGTTGCTTTAAAAAGTGCCTCTTGGCAATCAAATGCAACCACTTCCCACTAATTCAGATCAACGCTGATGTTTCCCCAGTTGAATGGAGAGATTAACCCAGCTGCATGCCTATGTATTCCCTGAGCTGTCCCTGGAGTTCATCAGGTGTACAGGTTATGCAGTCTGCTGAGATCCAGAAAGTTTCCAACCAGCAGCAGCTGCATGGTAATGCTTTTGGGTGCTAGAATTAGTACCTGTTCTTCTGACAACCTCTGGTAAGAGCTGAGTTGGACCTGCCGTTCTTGTGGCAGGTGATGGTGGATCACTGCCTTCAAGCACGGTGAGGGGTGGGTTGCCCCTGCCGTTCTTGTGGCAGCTGATGGTGAATCACTGCCTTCAAGCAAGTTACTTTAGCGCGTGCTGTTGTACGCTGATGGTGCTGGTGGCTTTGACTTTGTGCTGGAACTGAAGAGGAATTCCCCCTGAGCTGGGAAAGGCTGCCCTGCTTCGTGTGTCAGCTCTTCACGCTGGTTTTGTCTTTGGTTTTGCACAGCTCACCTCTGCTCTGCCCAGTGTGTGTGGGTCCCACAGGCTGACTTTTCTGTGCTGCAGTGCTGCTTGGGGGCTTCCAGATTTGTCTGGTATTTGCAGGTATCCATCACAACCTCAGTTACATCTACTATCTGTGTCAAGTTCACTTGGAACCAAGTCAGGGCCCAAGGTGGGCTTTGCTACAGGGTCTGACCCACACCATCAGCCCTCCTGTATTTGCTGGCTGGATCTCATTGCAACCAGCATGTGGGGCTTTTAAATTAAAACTTCTTTATTTTGATGCAAATTTCATATGGCACAACTGCACTGTTAGCTTTAGCATAGTATTTGAGTGTGTTCATTGTATTCATTTTTAAAGACTACACTGTATAAACAGTATTACATTTTTGTTTGTTGATTGATAATTAAAGAGAATTATATCTGCACCCAGTATACATTTAAAAAATTGTTACATAGTTTAGTGTTAAAAAGTAATATTCGGATCAATGCCTCCTATGGATTTTTGTAGATTTTCTACTCACTGAGGCATGCAGTCAATACCTAATTTCTCTGGAGATATACTGCGCTTAACATATTGAGTTTTTTTTAAATACTCCAGTCCTGTGCATTGAGTGCGTAAGACCAGTTTTAATTTGCTATCATTGATGAACGTAAGAGTATGAACTGTCTATGTTGAATTCCCTCCAGCATATATTTGTGTTTGCCATAGATTTCAAGATAACTCTCCTCTTCCTTTTAACAACGTTTCACAGTATGCAATAGCAGTTTTGCCATCTCTCGCATTGGGTAGCACCAGCTGAAATCCTTGCAGAACTTGTATCTACATCTAGAATAGTAAAAGTTGCTTAAGACAGTAGTGGTGACTTTTGGCAAGCTTATGGATATGTAGAGCGTCTGATGACGTTTGCCTCAATTAGGGCCACTGGTGGTCACTTTTTTGTAGCTGGTGAATAAGTTTTCTCTGAGCTGGTTTCATCAAACAAAAATGTTTCTGTTTATTTTCATGTCCTGTATTAGGGAAGGCAGTTGGAGCTATGTTTGATGACATATTTTAGCCAGTTCTTTGTGCCCCTCACGTTGGGTTATTGCAGTCTGCACTCCTTGAGGTCTGTCCGAATGCTTGTACGCTGTTTGTACAGGGCAATGCAGGCATCGGGAAAGCTGCAGTTCTTGTTTTCCCCACCAGTCTGACAGAACTGTTGCTGTTTGATATTAAAAACATAGCTCAGCGCTTGTCCGTTTTTTCTTTTACATGCAGGGGTTGACTAGAATATATGCAGGCTTCATTTTGCAAGGAAGGATGTGCAAGAATATAAACACGTGTACCTGGAAACATATTATTTCTGAGCCTACATGGCTTCCAGATACCAGAGCTCTAAATGGCTCTGGATCAAGAGGTTTATTTGACATTTGTCCATGTATAGTTAGGAGTCAGAGGGAGCCTGTTAGGTTTTTTTGTCAGTCAGATGAATTCCTGATTTGCTGCAGTTTGGTATGTGTTTCCCAAAGACTGTGTGCAGGACGAACTGTAAATCCTAAAAATAAAAGGAAAATATAACTGATCTCGTGAAAAATGGGTGGAACTTTGCAGTGTGAAATAAATAAAAAGATGTTTTAGTTTCCGAGTATTGGATTAGAAATGTGTGCCCAGCAGAAGAGGGAGCACGAGGTCATTGCAAGTGAAAGAAGAGTTGGGTTTTAGCAAGGAGAAGATTGAATAGGTTCCTATAACCACCTCTGTAAGCTTATTCTGTCCTGCCAAGAATATCCAGAAGCAGCAGAAATAAGATGATGAGCACCACAATTTTCCAGCACAGCTGATGAGCATGGCTGGGAATTGGTTGCTTAATTTTGGCTTCTCATTCTCTACACTAGGAAATCAAAAAGTTAGTGGACCTCACAGCTGCTTGTCAGCTCCTTACCTTTGTGATTTTTTTTTTTTTTTCTGCCACACAGATGTGAAAGAAGAGTAAAACTTCCTGTCCCCTTTCTCCTGCCACATGTTCTCCTTACTGCAAGCTTGGGACCTTTTTCTTCCGACGAGGTACCTGCTCCTCCTGCCACCATCATTTAATCTCCCACCCAGGTCTTGTGGTGAAGTTCCCTTGCATCTTCATACTTTTCCACTACCTAAACTTCTCCCCACCAAATCAGGACCCCAGCCCTCTTCCTTTCAGCACATCTCATTCTGCCAGTCCTGATGATTATTCACTCCCTGTCTGTGTTTAGAGGACAATCCTGCTGCTGGTTGCACTCTTGTATCACAGATGCAATTAGATCCTGCCAGTCGGTGGACATGTGTAACTGCTGGTTGTTTGGAGGTGGTTGTACATGTCTGCGCATTTGGCTGTTGTGATTGTCCAGGGCAGCTGTGCTATTTTGAAGAGGTTTGAGGACCACAGTTTGGGAACTTCTGGCCTGCAGGACCTGCTGGCTTATAGTGCGCTCGTGAGCTTGGCTGCGGGAGGACAGCAGCAGTAGTGTTGCTACTTTTGTAGGATCTTGAAGCGAGTTATCTGACTACTGTGCAGGAACTGCATGCCGTGACTGACAGGGCAGTGCTGATGTGCGGGCTGGGACGTGAGCCCTCAGGACTGTGAGGCCGATGTTGTCAGCATGGCACCTCTGTCACTGCCCAAGGTGAGGTCGGTGCTGGGCAGTCACGGTTGTATCCTCCCTGTGAACAACTGTGGGAATTCCTGACAGCTCTGCAGTGGGTTTCGTGCTGATCAGCCGTATTTATCGAACTTCTTAAATTTAACCGTATTTACCTAACCTTTTCCCTGTAGCCACCTACTCTACTCAGTTAGTCGCTGTCCTGCTGCAGTGAACTCCTCAGACTGACCGGTACCTTGAGGAAGCAATATTTCATTATCAGCTTTTATTGGTCTTTTCCTTTCTTCTGCCCCTAATATAGGCTCTGATTTTTGACGTCTTGTATTTGTCTGGTTTTTATCATATCAACCCTCAGTTAAGAAGTTCTATCACTTTTAGTTCATTTATTAAAACATTGTGATGATACATTTTTAACATAATTATATTTCTCCATGGTCATGTTACCACTCCTTTCCTTTATGGGCTTTTGGCTTAATGGCTATGGTATGAGTTTTATTTGTTTGTGAATTAACACAAATTTTTATGCTGTAATGCCAGTGAGAATTGGAGGTTCCACTGCACATAGATGCTATATGAGCAACTAAAATGATCCTTTTTAGGAAAAGCTTCCTATCTAAAGAAACACTAATAGTGAAATTATAATGTAACAGTGCTAATTAAAAATAATAGAAGAACATTTCATCTGTCACTTGTTAGCCTCCTAGATCTTTAGGCTTGAGAAAGTTAGCCTAGTAAGGGCCATAGAGGAAAACTCCCATTTTTATGTGGATTTCAGATGACTTCTTGGGAGCAGTATAGTTTTGAGAGTGTATTGTGGCTGGTGTGATATCGTTTATGATCTACTTAGAAATAGTAATCTGAATATAAATTAGGGCTCAGATAGCTGCCAAATCCAGTATACAGAGATAAATAATATATTTTCTTCTCAGGGTGAATTGCTTCACTTATATTATTCTGAGTTATCGTTGAACCCTGTGCCTTCATGTTGAGTATATGTTTGTGGTGTATATAAAACTTCTTATGGTCTGACTCTGATTTCATTGACATGGTTGTTAGGTCATTAACTTCAGAGGAGTTGTTCCTGATTTATCTTGGCAGGAGTGAGGACAGAATGAGGCCTTTAAGCTTAAAATTAAAAAAAAAAACAAAAACCTATAAAAATATTGTGAAATAAAATATCAACAACATATTCCCATTAAATAGTATTTCATATGAGACTAAAATAATAACAACAAAAAAACCCTGGTTAATAGAAAAGCAGAAATTGAGTATCTATTAAAAAAAGAAAGAAAAAACTCAAACAAGTTTTTAATCTACAGAGAAGAGAATTTGATTTAAATAAGTATTATTTTGAATGTATACTCTTGTAACAGTGACAAGTTATCAAGCAGAATTGTTTTATTTTTGCATGGTTATCACATTTAAAATGAAGCCAGATTGACTTCTCTCAGTTGATGTTTGTCAAGAATTCTTGTAATCTCCAATTGTATTAGCAGATTTATAGTTTTCCAGTAAACATAGTTGAAATTTATGTATTAGTGTTTTATTTGAGTTTAAAAATCTAATTATTCCATTGTTCATAGATAATATGAATTCATTAAAGATTTAGTTAGTTGAATACTTTTTTTTATAAGGATCTAAATGATTTAAAAAGTTGAGGAAGTTAGCATCTCTAATACTGAGCTGACAAAGGAGCAGAGAGAAAGAATAAGCTAGTACGGTCAAATAATCAAACGTTAACATTTTCATGTGGTTCTATGAAAAACACATGTAAATGTCTTTATGTAGTAACATTTGTGGTGACCTGGGAAATAAAGTGAGATGGGAATTTACCATCTCTCTGTAAAACATTTCGCCTTTTATTTTTTAGTGATGTGTGACTTAGTTACATGTATCTTCTTTTTTTTTTTTTTTTTTTTCTTTCTCCCCCCTAGCTGACTACTGTGGCTTTTAGGAAGGTATTAGTAAAGTCCTTACTTGCACACATCTCCTATTTGTGATGGCTTTGCCCTAGTGTTAGTCAGGAAATGGCTGGAAGAGCAGCATGTGAGTGAGAAGGTAATTAGTCACGGCCAAACTGTTAACTGTGAAGTAAACTTTATCCTCTGGGGACTGTTTTGTCAGAAAATGAGTTATCTTAGGTTAGCTTCTGAAATCTAATTGACTTAGCATTATTTACAGATTCATATCAATTAGTCCCTGAGTGGAAAAAAGTGGTCCATTGTAATTTTGACAATTTTTCTCAAAAGGCCGCTTCCTGTAGCCCATCTTACACAAACAGGTGCCAGAAAAGCCTTGTGTGAAAATTGGAGGATCTGCAATCAAAAATTCTGGCTTATATGGTTATAATCTGGAATTGCCATAATGGAAAAAGGAGTTGTGAACACATGTGTGTGAATGGAATTGTTCCACAGTTAACAGGAGATTTATGGCTGAAGAAATCACTACAGAACAGCAAGTGGTAGAGATTGTGTTTTTATTTTAATATGAGAGCCAAGTCTTGCATTAGGATGTTGCTGAATCTAGTGCAGAAAATAAACGACTCCCAAGGGATAGTGTAGCGTTCTGTTAGATTGAAGGCCCTTTAATAATCCCATAGTCTAATAGCAGTTAAGATAGAGAATGTATAAGAACTAATCTTCTGCTTTTACAATAATGTGTGTACAGTAACAAGAAACAGTTATGATGTGTTGGCACTGTAGCTTTTAGCAGATGACTTTTTAAATTAAAAGATAAGTTTGCCGAGTGACTTTCTGGAATCTATTTAATGAAGGCCCATAAAATATGATATCTGTTTACAGCTGGATTAACAGCACTGTGCTCAACTACTAGTCTTTACACTAGAAAGAAAGTACCAAACAAATCTGAAATCTTCTTTTGTTCCTGGAAACTGCAAATTCATTTTGGAAAAGCATAAATTTAACTTCTACTTCTGTCTGTCTTTAATTACAATGAACAGTTTCTGGGTTTGCAGATTCCGTGTGATGTTGACTTGCAAACTATAGGCTGCATATCAAATGTGTACAAAGAAATATTGCAGCAATCCTGCTTGTTCAGTTTTTTCAAGTTTGGTTTCCTCTGAATAGCAGCAAGCAGTAGCAATTCTATTACACTTTTTTTTTTCTGTTTCTCTTGGAAAAGGCAATCTATAGATTAACTTTGGTTACCTGTTTTTCTGCATAGATGGGGTTAAGTTCAGTTGAATTGTATCTGCTGTATTTGTATTCTGTAGTTAGTATATCTGTCTGGAGTGTGCAGGGTGAGAGTAAGTTGTTCCTGAAATAACTTCCTTTTTGGAAGCAGTTTTGGTAGCTTTTACACAGGACTTACTAAACAGCAAGTGTATTTTAGCCTGTGCTATGATTCTTCAAAACAGTTCATGGTACTTGTAAGCAGACAACTTTGGTGTGTAAATGTACACTAGATGGCAGTTTTGTCATATCTTCCAAGTTGAAATAGCTCTGTAGGAGAACAGGAAAGGCCATCAGTGTTTAGTCTGCACTCACAGGGTCCCTGCATGACCAATGTGGACCCCATGGACTTCCTGGAACATGTGTTAGCAATTTAGCAGCAGACATTTATTTCTTTGTTTTACTGCTTGGCTCTTTGAGAAAGTGTTGGTACTCAGTTATGGGCTGTCTGGATCATGTCAGAGGCCATGGGGATCAAGTCCATGTGACAGGCCAGACTGAGGAAGGATGAAGTTGGAGGAGGTGAGGAAACTGACCCTTACTTCAACGGTAACAAGTCACTGCCTGTCTGTGGACCGTGGCCAAAAGCCGGCGCGGTTTGGGTCTAATACAGCTGAATAAACAAAACACTTTGCCCATTTGGCTTTTTCATATTTCATCAACACTAGTTCAATCAAAGTTGTTTCTATTTCCTAAGAAGAGGTTCTTATTCTTCATCTTTTTTTTTTTTTTTTTCCCTTTTTTCTTTCCTTCCCCCCTTTTTTTTAAAGAAATGACTGTGGACACCTCTTTTAGCCCCATCCAGACGAGGTGACCTTGAAATCCTTGGCTACTGCATGCTGCAATGGTTATGTGGGAAGCTGCCCTGGGAACAGAACCTGAAGGACCCTGTAGCTGTCCAGACTGCGAAAACAAAGTAAAAATAAAACACCACACACGTATACATGCGCACATGCGTGCCACCCTAGGACCCTGCAGTGTCCTTGTCACTTAACAAAACAGGTCTGAGACAGACAGCTTTACAGGTAGAATAGCACCTTACAAGAAAGCTAAAAGAATTCTCCTTAATTAAGAGAGAAGTTAGAAGCAGTTAAAAATGTGAACTTTATGTCCATATATACCCTCTTGCACATGTTTATATATGTACTGCTGTGGAGAGGTGATACATTCAAATGCACAGTACACAGTCATTTTGTCTGCTGTGTATTTTTTTTAATACTCTTTTAAAGAAAAGATTTGTGAATTAGTGCAGGCCTTGTTGCATGTACTGAAGGTGGTTGTGTGTTTCCATTAAACTGCATGGGTGCTTTGTAGAGACTGTAGTACAAACATCTCCTGGAAGTTTTTCCACATGTGCATTCAATTTATTTAACTTTCTATATGATGCTGTTTTTCAGATGTTTTTATGTAGGTTTTTAATGTTATATAAGCCCACTGCTGTTACAAACAATTGAATACCAAAATACTGAAGAACTTGATTAAAATCTTCCCTTTTTTCCCAGCATGACTCATTTAGAGCTTACTAAAGCAACGGAGTGTATTAGTGTTTTCTTTCTCTGCTTTCACGGTTGGGACTTGAGAGAGTTAATTGCATGTGGTACAGTGTAGCCTGTAGAAGGCTATACAGAAGAGTAGTTACCCATAAATGTAACATCACAATTGGAGAAGGCAGCAAACTTTTAAGTAGGGCAAGTCACAACAGAGGTACACAATAGGGATAGCTGATCCACAGAAATCAATCTGCAAATTCAGTGTGGCATCGGCTCTCAACAGAGAAAAAGGTTAGCCTGCAGACTGTGGATAATACAGATTGCATCTGTAAATGTTGACATCGTATGTTATGTTTAATATTTCTCCTTTAGAAGTTCTGATCATTACACAGCCCCCTGCAAGGTAACACTTATACAATTCAATGTTAAATCAATGTAATCAATCAAGCTGCTTTGCTAATTCTTCCCTTGCGGTTAACCCTTAAATTGCTAGCATTTTCAGGATGCCATGTGAACAGATGCTTAGAGGAAATGCACAGAAAATAGTACAGATTCCATTTATCAGAAATATCCTTAGTCTAATGAATGACGTTTGTGGTATTAGGTCCAGGTCATCCCTTTTTATTTATCTTAATTTTCAGTGCCTATACTGTTTTCAAAGGCCAGAAATAGACATACAGATATATGTGCGTATCCAGTTGCTTTAAAGTTAATCAGTACATTAAGCAGCACAGGCAAATCACTTCTGAGCATGCCTGTCCTTTGCTGCAGAGTCTGTGTGATGGTGAGGATGAAGGGGCTGGGCCTGGAAGGTGGTGTGCAGTTGAAAGGCAGGAGCCTGAGCAGGACCTCAAACTGTTGTTCACCTGTTGTCTCATCCTCTCATCCCTTCGCTGCAAGTTCTTAGTATTTCCTCCCGGTAACGCCGGGGTGATGAGGCAACAGTGCCAAAAGCTCTGGGCGTTGGTAAGGGGATATTTAAGGACTGCTGTTATATCTGAATTTATAAATGTCTGTGCCGTGCCATAATTGGAGGAGAGGCTCCATTTGAATTGGAAGTTAAGCTGGATTACAGAAAATGTTTAAATGCTTCTTTTCCCCAACATTGAACCCCCTATTTCTGATACTAAACAGATTACTGAATTGAAGGTTATTTGCCTGTATGCCCCAAATTTATGTATTTGAGAACACATCCTGTTACTTATTGGTGGAGCTTTATGGCTCCTTTAAACAAGCAAACAAACAAAAGGGATCCCGTGACAGAATTAACAGCGGGACTGAACTAAGAGGTTTCACTTAGGGCAAGGGGGCTTGTGCAGCTGCAGGTTCCTACAGGTGCTCGGAGATCACGCTGGTTCATGCCTGCGCAAAGATGAGAGCTGGTGTTACTTCATCTGTTTTTAGGGTACGATTGATTCTGAGCTCCAGTGTCCTTTGCTGTTTCTGGGTAGATAGAAAGTACCTCTGTGGTCCTGCCCTTCAGTTTACGAAGTGCCTGGGACTTAAGGTCCTTTAATCTCCTTCTCCCATTTTGTCCCTGCCATGCCTGCTTGTAATTTTGACAGCCATCACCCAGCTGCCCGTGAGCTATGTGGCAGAAAGAACCTGATGCTAAATGACTAGTAGGCAGACCAGAACTGCTTCTTCAATTCCAAAATACAAATATTAATCATTAAGCTGAAATCAGAACAAGCCATTTCAGCTCAAAAGGATTTTTCTTTTTCTTTCTGGAAAGCTTAAAATATCTGCAAAGAAAAACTTAATGTTGAAGTGCAGTCTTAGCTGTAAGCCTGGTCTTGCTGAAATCAGCAGTCTCCAAAGAGTTAAAAATATAGCTGGTAAGAGGAGATTTTGTTTTAAAAGCAGTACTGTGAACCATTAGCTATCCCGGAGGTCCACTCCCTTTGGAATTGAGACTTGCTGTCTTCCTAAATCCCAAATGAAGAATCACCTGCTCCAAAACCACATAAAATTGTTGCACTCGTGTTGTTTCAGACTTATGGACGAGCTCCCAGATTCAGTGATGGAATGGGATTCTTCTGGAAGCAGCTGTAGTAAGTGTGCTTGTACTATGTACCATATTTAGTCTGTTACAAAAAATACTTCACTGGCTTAGTCTGTTTGGGGGAAGCAGTACAAAAGTAAAAGTAACACAAATTTAACAAAGTTTTCAGTTTAAACTCTTAAATGTAATTGCTGAGGTTTGCACCTTAAGGTAGATGCCTTCACCTGAGCGCATGCAGTATTACAGTATTACTGGGCTCTGGTCTTAGGGCAAACCGGAGTGTGCAAGCAGGAGTCATCCTTGAATCAACCCCTTGGAATCAAGCCTGCATGAACCACTCTTACACAAACTCATCCAACAGAAGAATTCAGCCTGCAACATCTGGATTTAGCTGATAACACAGTAGTTATGTGATACTCATTGTTAGATTATATGTCACACTCATTAATTCAGGGTGCCATTTAATTGAAGTAATATTTCTGACTTCAGGGGAACTGGATCAGGCCCTTCATGTACAAGCTTATTATATTTCAAGCATTTTTACCTCAAAGGCTTGTTTACTGCAAGGGCAGAAGGTAAATTTCTGGATGCTGTGGAATGCTGGTCACTCTGCAATAAATGATACTTGATGCTTACTGGTACAGGATACTTAATGTTTTTATTGCTCTTTTCTTTCTGTTGCTTTCCTGCATTATCCCATGAAGAAGTACAAAGTAGAGGAGATAGACACTGAGGGCTAAATTTGAACCCCGGTGTGTGGCAGTGTCAAAATCTTGATCAGCCTCATGTGTGATGTACACCATAGAGTGGCATAAGGGATCTTGGCCCTGTGTAGTCCAAGGTGTTAGGAAGTAGTGACTATCTTAGAAACAGAATTAGCTGTTAGTATGGACGTAGTAAGCAACCGTCTACGAAAGGCTTATTGCTTAGCAGTCAGAGTTTGAAAAAGCAAACGAATGGACAGTTTGTCTTATTGTATGTTTCTTCCTTCACTGAAATACAAAAGTAACCCAGGGAAAACACCAAACTTCCTTCAAAGGTCAGTATCTATTTTTGATTTATTCACTTATTCACTTTATGCACTTATTCACTTATTAATACATTTCTGTATTTGCATTATTGGAATGCATCATATATTGCATAAAGTATATTCATGGTGTGTATGCATATTTAGTATAAATCTTTTCTGGGATTTTACCCGATGTAATATCTGGTGTAGTTCTCCAGTTTTAGGATATGCTTGGGTCTTCAATTGAAAGAAAAGTTTGACACACACACCTCCCCCCCGCCCCCAAAATGTTTTTCCTAATAGCTTCATTTCTGCCCATTCAGTGGTTTCTCTGTTTCTAGAACCACTCGATAATGATAGCAAAATAATGCTGCTGTGAGACTGGTTTAGGGATGTAATCTCAAAACCAATATTTGTCCAAGTATTAGAAGTTAAAAAAAAAAAAGGTTGCTTTTTTCCTCAAAGCATTCGAAGTATAATATCTATGCAGATTAAAATAGTGTTGTTGAGAGTAGTTAATATTTAAAGGGGTATTATGGTCTTTCAAATATAAAATACTTCTATTTTATACAGAACTATCACTATTTGTCTATAAAGTATTTTGATTAATTTTTATACTTCCATAGCTTTCAGTATTATAAGAATTAGTGTATGTGTATAAGACATGGCACTTGAGGGTGTTACCTTGTTTGTCCAAGTCTACCTTTTCCTTTTCGCATCGCGAAAAGGCGAGATATTGTCAGTTCTGTGTTTTGAGCGTATCTTCAGCTGAAATTGTGTCATCTTGTTTGGCAGTGCAGGATTCCATTTTGGAATTCAATTCTTTCTGAAGTTCTAGGTCTACACCATGTGAAATTTACATTAAAATATGCTCTACAGGTGAAATATCCAAGTTTTTGGCATGTGTTTATGGCTTAGCTTATGATGAGAAGCCAAAGTATCAAGCGCTCAAGAAAATCCTGCTGGATGGACTGGAGTCAAGTGGAACTCGCTACGATGGCCCTCTGGAATTTTCCGCTACAGCAGGCACACAAAATCACTGTGCTGCTAAAGTGTCAAAAGTAAGTCAGACAGTGCTGGGATTATGTCTGACATCTGCTTGATCGTTGCCTTTTCTTTTGTAGAGGAGGAAATAGTTTAAGATCTCAAAATGAGACTGACACAGCAGTTCTTTTGCCTTAAATACACTGTGTTTGTTAATTCCTGTTTCCCCTGGCTTTGCTAAAAAGTGGGATGTCAACCCTTAAGGAGGAAGAACTGTCATGAGTCCTTTTGACCTGCAGCCTCTCACTTCAAAGCGGTAGGTCTGTGGAGAATGATTTACTTTCAGGATAATGGGGAAGTCAAGGACTTTGTTCACTAACATCTTGAAGACGAGCCTGAATGCCAGGTTTTTCCTTCGTTCCAGATTAAAAGCAAAGTTACCTTTATTAGTGCAAGCATTTAATTCATTTTCTCGCTTTCAGACTGTTCTTTGTCATTTGCCTTTATACTCCTGCAGCCGCTAATGTGGAGGAGGTATTATTCTGGGATTTAACTGTGTTATTGGTATGCAGTGCTATGTGATGCACTAACACAGAATTTTAAAACTGACAGCTATCGTGTTATATTTTCCTTTTGTACTTTTAAGTCTGAAACTATACAGTTAATAAACCTGTGTTTTAATAAGGGGAGATTGAGGTAATTAGCAGTCTTGCTGGACTTGCTGTGAAATGTCAGTCCCATCATACCTCTGCCTGGAAACTCCCCGTATGCAAAAGCCCCGTTTCTGTCTCGGATGCGTGTGCAATAAGGCAGGGTCAGGGTACCATTCATTTTTAATATTTCTGGTGAACTTTGGACCATCACAAGTGTACGTGAGCCAAGAATGCAGGATGCAAACTAATGTGACTGATAGGCTGCTAGATGAATGGTGATTCAAGTATCAGTGCACAGATGGTTCTGATTTGCTGAGTTTTGTAGCTGCTGCAACTGAAGACATAAAATATCCTTCTAGTCATAAATTAGCTCTTTGGAAGCAAAACCTTGGCACCAGAGCTTTACAACAAAAAAAAATTTGAATGACTGTGGTATTGACATCTGTAGGCCTGCATAGTAATCATTCCTAATAGAAGAGAATATCTGTTTGAGGGGGTTTTGCATGGCTAATTAACCACCAGTGAGAATATGTAATTTTTTCATGATCTCCTGATTGTCACCTTTCTCTCATGATACAATTACATTTTATTGTAGCAAGTGCCTCACGAACCAATTGTCAGCACTATTTACGTATTATGGAAGGCAGAACAAAAGTTCATGTTTAATAAAAAGGCATTGGGTTTTGATCTTGGTAATTACAGATACTTATTTTAGCAATTTTATTGACTTTTCTGGTTTTATCGCTACTTTTTTTTTTTAATAAAACCAAAAGCTATTTCAGTGACGGTGTTTCTCTTGCTATGATGGAGACCACTTTGTCCTTGCTAATTTGAGAAGCTTTTTTTTTTTTTTTTTTTTTTTACATTTGTACTGTTTTCTGAACCAAACTGAAATCTCAGGTAGCTGTTAACTGATTTCCAGCTGATCCTGTTGGATCTCTGGTTCCCAAGAGTCTTTGATTTCTTAGTCAGATACTGAATAGTAAATCTATTTTCTTATTGCCTGGCCGAAGACTTGACAGTACGCTGGTATAAAAGATGATCCTGACCTTCCAGGCTGTAAAAGCTGCCGTAGCACTTGCTATTTGCAAGTGTGCAACCTCACTGAAAAATCCGTGAATGAGGAGTGTCAGTTATCACCACTCTTGTGCTGGAGGACTAAGCAGAATTGGTTTTGATGGCCAAGAACAAGATCAGAGAAGGGAGTATGTCTGCATATTGCTAAATCTTGGCACCTGTCATCACTTTTCCAGAGAAATTTTTAATGTTGTCTTGCTTCTTGGAGTAGTAAGAATGGTTTCTTCAATGATCACCAGGTTTTTACTTGAGTGTGTTTCTTCAGCCAGTTCTGCTGCTTACATGCACAAGTTTTCTGTAACGTTTGCTGCAGAACAGCTGCAGAAAGGAAATTTTTAGGGTTATTCAACGGACCTAAGGAGTACTGAAATACAAGTCAAGAGAGCAGATAACTGAACTTTCTCTAAATGTATTGCTGTTTTCAGAAAATGCGATTTTTCAATCTGTGGCTGTGAAGGATATTCAAGGCCTGGTGCACTTTGGTGCTACAGTCCTGACAAAGTGTTCGATGACAGGCAGGCACTTCCCACTGCATCTCTTCACGGCACTGTCTGTCGTTATCCTAGGTCTGACTCTTTTCATCTCGGCCCTCTGCATTCCCTTTCCACCTCTCCTTTTATTCACCAAACACTTCTCCCATTAAAGAGGCAACCTAAGAATAGTGGGAGCCACTACAAACAATCCACTGTCTCCTCACTTCTTGCTTATGAGCAGAATCTGACTCCAGATGACCTGTCTGATTCCACCTCTACCAGTTTGGTACACAAGAAAGAGGTGATTTTGGGTCAATTCCCTTCTGAAGACCAGTAAACACCCGTAAGTACCAATAAGGGGATCCTGTAACGCTAGCTCCTTGAAGATGATGTGAAGAGGAATTGCTACAGAACATGAATTTTAAGATGCAGCTCCCTGTATAGTACGTGAATCTAATCTTGAAATAACATAAAAAGTGTAACAGCGCCTATGTCCCGGTTCTTTGTTTCAATTGCACACCAAACAGAGGTGATAAAATATTAATTGCGTTCATTCTCAAATGTGTTTACTGCAGATTTTGGCACTGGATCAATATTTTCGGCTTTTTCACCTAGAGAAAGTGCTAGCATTAGGGCCAAATGGCCTATGGTCAGGCTGGCTGATTACCTGCTAGATTTTGTGGATTTCATATTAAAAAATGTTAAATCGATACCAACCTGTCATTTATCTTAGTATGGAATATGGTGATTTTAAAAAAAAAAAAAAAAAAAAAAATTATAAGTATTTTCACAAGTGCTGCGAGCCCTGTTTTGAAAGCGATGTGGTCCTTTAAGGTATGTATACATTGTGAAGATACCGGAGTTAGCCGTCAACAGGATTTAGCAGTTCTTGCATGGTGCAGTATGGTGCTGTGATGCAGAGAAAAGAGCATTTAGGTAACGGTCAGCGTGGCATTTGGAGCCTCACCTGTGCAACTCCATTTCTCAGGGCTGTCGCCAGTGTTACGTGCTGAGGTGTAGACTGTTTGGAACTAGCTTGAGTTGTTACTCAGAACAGATACACCTTTATGTTTCTAAACATTAATAATTGTATATTCTTAAAAGGCGTTTTGGATTAATATGTGAAGTGCTTACTGGCACTTCCAGGGGTATTTAGGTTGTGCAATTTCTATTTCCTGTATGTATTTAATTTGCAGTATAAAAAGCAGCTCATTCTTTCTTTTTTAGCTGCTTTATTGAGATCCAGCTGCTGCGTAGAGGACCGTATGCAAACGTTACAGTTACAGAGTTATTAGTGTGCCAGAAGTACCAAAGGCATGTGGCATACAGCCTGTGTTTTGGCTACGGTTGTCTTCCAAGTTCCAAAAGCCAAAACCAGACATCATTTGATACTGAGTGCTTAGAGCAGCACTGGAAAAAAACTTGCATTAACTAACTAACTAACTCATGCAACTGTTCACCGCGTATTCCCCGTTTACATTTTAGAAGACTCCAAAAAAAATGGGCTTTAACTCTTAAATGAGATAATCATGACATCTTCTGACTCAGGTAATCTGAGAGTTTTGCATGTGACTCAATCCAGTGACAGGAAATGCATTCAGCTCTACGTGTTATGAAACGAACTGCAACTTACTGTCACCGTTCCCAATAAAGGGTGTTAGTGAATGGTTTGAAATGTAGAACTGAAGTTTAGTTTATAGCGTACTTCCCAAGTACAGCATGGCTCTAACTTTGTATTCTTTGAAGAAGGCTTTTCTTGATAATTAAAATGCTGGAAACAATTCTTTTGAGAAAGAAAAAACTTTCTCTGATTCTGCGTTCTTGGTACTGAAGATAGAACAGTTTTCCTTTTGAAATACTGACGTTTTTTCAGTATACAAAATTGTTCACTGCACATCAACAGGGTCGCTTACCGAAGCCTACGCCAAAACCAGTTCAGCAGAAGCAAAAAATGATGGAAGGTGAAGAATACGTCTGTCAAAACAAAGCCTGTACTGGGGTAACTGGGAAACAACTCCAAGATGAAGAAAAGCCAAGTAAATTAAACAGGGTGCGTCACCAAACACAGCCTCAGCAGGTGAGTAACGCGTGGTATCTCCTGGGAGTCTTGGCTGCTCTGTTAGCTCAATGGTCACCTTTTGGGGTGGAAAAGGAAAAAGAGGGCTTGAAAAAAGCCCAGTGCTGTGTCACAAACTCCAGAAGTTGGCCTATTCTTACTGGCTGGTATTACTCCAAACATAAACCTCTGAGTTTCTTGTAAGCCCACCGAGTAAGCACGAACTGGGCACTGCCCTTGCCTGTCTCAAACCTGACAGGTCCAAGTGTTGGAATGGTACCTGTGATAATTTTGAACTTTCCCAAACTCTTTTCAGCCATACAGAATTACTGTCTGTACATCAACAGGTTCACTTCCTGAAGCCGTCACCGAAACCAGCTCAACAGACGCAAAACACAGGGAAACGGCCTAAGCAGGCCCCACGCTCGGGTAACACGCCGGCAATTCCAGGCTGAAGAGAAGCCCGTTAAATCCTACACTATGGTTCAGGAGCCTGACCGCCCGCAACAGGTGAGGCTTTTGGTGTTACCTTAGAGCTGTCATGGCACCCTGTGAAAGATAGATCAGCTTTTCTAAAACTAACAGTTTAAAGGTATGCAAACTAGATGTTTGCCACAAACACTACAGATTGTGTATAGTTGCTTGCCTCCTACTATTCCTGAGCTAACGCTCTGTGTGCAGATAAAAGTGCTGGGAAATGACAGTCTCCCTTTGTGGACCCTGTTGTTTTCTTGGTAGGAACTTACTTCAGTTGTTTCCTTTTCTACATAGTGGAAAACTTCACAGCACACTAATTAAAGTTCTTAAATTCTGACTTTTTAATCTGAGGATTGTAGTAGTTAACTAACTCACCTCAAATATTATTAGTAATTGACTGCATAAAAGGGTTGAATGAATATATTCAGTCTTAGTCTTCAACCGTATATAAAAAAAGGATGAAAAAATTAATCAAGGTTTTAGTAAAAATAATGCAGAATAAAGTACATCTTAGTAGTCACGCTGTACTCCTTTTCTGTGGAGTTTAAGTGTATTTTAACAAAGAGATTCTACCCCATTTTTCTTTCTTACAGAAAAATAACTTGTTAAATGAGAACAATTTCTAATAAGCACAAAAATACAACTTGAAAGCTAGCTTTATTATTAATCCAAAATTCTTTGCTTCAAGCAGTCTGCTGATCACTGCCTGGAGACTCCGGTACAAGCTAGGAGAGTGAAGCAGAAAAAGCAGAGCTGTACCCGAGAGCATCAGGCAGTAAAGTGGTGAGCAGAACAATTTTTTGGAGATGATTTGGGTGAGAGCAAGGGAGACAGATTTGGGAAAGTCTCTGGAGTCCTGACACAACAGCGACCTGAAGTAATAAATACAACTTTGTAATAGGAAGATATTCCAGTGCTGCTTCCTAGTCCTCAAATTTAAACTTAAAAAATATTAGCAAAAAAAACCCAAACAAATCTCATCCCTCCTGTATATTTGGTATAAAAGCTACTGTGAGTCCTAAGAAAGAAGTAGATAAGGAAAGAGAACCCTGTTTAGGTTTCCAACATGACATTGGAAAAAAAAATAGAGTTTGTGTAACTTCCTGTTTACTTGAACAGCAAGCACATGGTATGGAGTGTAGATCTTGACACCGGAGAGTAACTTGGGGATTTGTTTGTCTGTCCTTCTTGTGGGAGGAAGGAAAAGTACATTTCTACAGAAATGGGACCAATCACTGGTCCAGTATTTAATTATATTTGTGTTTTGATTTAGTCTTTATAAAGGAAAAGCTGCTAGTCCAGTATGATTAATAAAACTGCATCTATGTAGAGTAGTTCTGCAGTACTACTGAATATTGTGCATAATAGGGGAGAGTGAAAATAGATGTCAGATAACATTTAAGATATTCAGAGGAGAAACCGGAGGGGGAAAAAAAAAGGCAGGATTGTATTAGTTTCATTTTACAGCCTTCCTCTCAATTCCTTTCACATAATTTAGGAGATTAGATAAAGGAAAAGCTGTATGGGAAACTTTAGAGCACTGAGATTATGAAAATTCAGGATTCTTCAGGCACAAAGGGGGAGAAGAACCAATGGTTCACGCAGGAACTGCCTGACAGCCCGTCGCCACACTATTCTCCAGAGAGCAATTCCAAGCGCTGTGGTTAGGCAGCTGCCTGGAGTAGTTACCTGCAGGCACCTCGCTGTAGCGTACACGCTTAGACGGGATGGCCACCCTGGTGCCAGTAACAGATGATGCAGTTACAGGTCTGAATACAGAACCTGGAGGGAAAGTTGTCTTCCTCTCTGGTTTATCTTTTGGGGAAGTACAATCAGGAAAACATCAGAGCTGGGAAAATGAAAGAACGATTGGTCTGCTTTGTAGGATGCTGCTGGAAAGCAGGTATGGTTTAGGTATAAATTAAACCAAGAAACATTTCTATGCTGAGATGGAGATCAAAAAGGTAAGCTAAGGATGACAGTGCTTCTGGAGACCCCAAAAAACCCCCAAAATGCCACTGTATCGAACTAGAACAAATCCCACCCTACCAGCATATTTATGCTTTCTATGGTAAATCAGGAGGACTTCAGCTTCACTAGGAAATGCAAAAACTTCTTACACAAAATAAAACAGCAAATCAAACTTCAGAGTAATGTCTGGGGTTTCCAGGCTAGAACTTTATTAGCAGAAATGCTGTAAAGACTTTACCGCTTTTCAAAAACAATATATTAAAGATACAGAAGAATTTCAGCTGTTGACTTCAGTAATAAACATCGACTATGTCTCTTTAGAAGATGTTTAATCATACCTAACATTATACACTTAATAATACACAATATACTTATACCCTGCAAATTCCAGAGTTAAGACCTTGTATAACTGTATTGTTTACTCTAGAAATTCAGTATTTAGTGTAATTTTTTTTTCCCCTGCAGAAAGACACTGCAAGAGAATTCCCACCATTTGACCTCCAAGCAATGCCCTCAGAATCCAAACAGAAACACGATCGACTCCTTACTACAGATCATCCTGTATCATCGCCAGAAACTGGTTCTGACATCACGCGTCCTTCTTTATCTGTTATATTCAAACTTGCATTTACTGAGGAAACGTACCACTACAGCATAGCCATACTTGTACTTCTGCTACTAATATTACTTTCCTTGTATTTTCTTTGACATCGTGGTTTTCGTATCTCCAGTGTAAGGGTGTGCAGTGGTGTTCCCATCACGCGGTTTCTTCTCAAAGTTTCTTGGTTGAAGATTTCAGTGTTAGTGGCTTGAAAAAAGATGTTTTAAAATAATACTGTCAGTACAGCTCTTTTAAAGGCAAGTTCTCAATTTCCAAATCCGCACTCAATAGTTATGTATGCACTGAACTGTTTGTACGAGACTGTTTGGTGTTATGAATGTTGGGATTCTTCTTTTTTTCCCTGAAACTGGACCTTTGCTACAGCAACATTAAAAAAGTCTCATGAAATACAACGGGGTGTGATATTTAATTACTCTGACACTAGTATGGTGATAAGTGTAGCCCTCTTTATACTGTTTCAGAAAACACTGATGCATTACATGCATGGGAATTTAAAGATTTCCTCTCTTTATTCCAGTGGGTAAAGGGAAGAGTAGCCACAAATTGTATTTTACAACTGACTTTGTTACAGTTTTTGCCTTTATCTGAGCTACCCCACACTATTTAGTTCAATCACTCATTTTCACGAGATTTCCTTACCTTATTACAATAAGGACATTCACCAAAGATGACATTAAAACTCTGTCTGCTAGAAGGAAGACCTTGTAGCCACTGCAACACAAGTAAGTGGATTAAAATTCACATTTGTTTCACATCAAATTTACGAAGGCTCTATTACCAGGGGTTTTTCCAAACAGAGTTCATTTGATCAACATCTGACATAGCGTGTGTCAAGTCAGGGGCTGTATAACCACAAAGCGAGGCAGGTTCCCTTCCGCAGGGAGCTTATTTCTGAATTGTGGCTTAAAAGACAAGAGGAAACACAGTGAGTGACTGGCATAGCACTCCTTAAAGGCTTTTGCTTCATCTGAAATGTAAGTGGGCAGAGCCTGTTTTCTAGAATCTGTGAGTTAGTGAGCAAGTTTGTCCCATTAATTACTTTACCTCATACAGGCAAGCCTGGTGATAAGGTTGTCCGCATCGGGGATCGTCACACACTTGATCTGGAGTAGTGCCGTGCAGTCGATAGGCGTAGCAGATTCCACAGTCCTTGGCAAAATCCTGAAAAACACAACATGGTTTAGCTTACACTACAACTGCAAGGAAGAACCGGGGCTGGTACCACAGAAAACATGTTCATCTATTTGTCCTTGCTTTTGCATTTTTTATTCCTTAGAACTACTAAATATTTTTGCCCTCAATATACGTGTTTACGCCATTAGGGTATAAAGAGTGAGATTAGTTGCCAGATGTCCAAGACTTTGTTAGGCTGTATTTTATCCTCTCACTGAATTACATCTAGTTTGACAAGCATTTTCATACTCTTGGGGGCCCCACTGGTTCTTTTTTATTAAACACAATGATTTGTCATTACATTTGGACATTAGACCCAAGACCTTGCAGTCAGATATTAATTTAAAAATTTCACAAGTGAAAGCAAAGCTAGTAATCCAGTGTTACAACATTGTCAAAAATTAATTCTGAGTTTGTTTGAAATGCACCAGTATTTGGATGGCCTCTCGTCCCCTCTAAGCAGCTCTACCTAATTAGAACTTAAGTCATCAACATCCATAACAATGTTTGGATTTTCCACCCCTCATTAGCTACTCTGGAACTTCCTCTCTCCCTTTTAATAGTGAAGCCTGTTATTAATCGCCTTACTGCTATGAAGGCCACAGGAAAGTGTGCACCTCTAATCAAAGGTTAACAAGCTCTGACAATTGTTGCTTGAAGTTCAGAAGTCCTTATGACAATATATTAATCCAATTACCTCTCTTCTAAGTCTCCTATTTTTTGCTGGCAGTTATAAAGTGACCATTTAAATTTTACTTATTGAGAAGTAACAACTAACTGATCATTAACAAAAAGCAACTTACGCTTTTTTCTAACACAGCACGAGATGGAAAATCAATTTCTAAGAGGTCTTTCAAGTTTTGTAATAAACTGATTTCTGGATCCCTGCAGGTGCAAGAGAGAGAGGAAAAAAGTCAACACTAGGAACAGCAAATACCATTTCAGTTTCAAACCTATATTTATTATTAAAGATGCTTACCATAAGTGCATATTGTTGTTCAGCTTAATTCTCAAAGGGTTAACCACTGCAAACAATGTACATAAATAATTACATCATCTTTAGGGTCCCCTTTGCTCCCCCTCCCAATTTGACCTCTTATAATTCAGCACTGACAAGGGAAGGCATGGGTTGGTGGGCTTGAATTATTTAAGGTACCTAAGTCATGACTGCTCTTAGTTCTTCATTATGCTAATATTTAAAATATCATCTTATATATCTTAAGCAGCTGGTAAAAAGCTGCAGGACACAGAATAGAAGACTTGAGTATTCCCAAACACTATGTAGTAAATTTTTAATATTTTTTTTAAAAGACAATTTTATTAAGTTACAAACGTGATTGGGTAATGCAGGATACAGGGTTCCCTCTAAACTGTGCTAGGAAGGCACTGGAAAATAGTGTCCCTCACAGAGCAAACCAGCATGCTATGGATTTAGGCTGTTAAAAACCCCAGCATCTACTGTGTAAAACTCTCCTACACGCGTATTCAGCTTAAATCCCGGCTCTGCTTAAGTAAAGTTTACCCCAGGAGTCTGACATCGCTTACACTAGTATCTGCTCGCTACAGATGAGATTCTAGAAGAGAAACAAACGGTGTACGTCTGCTGCCTTACCGTGATCTGCTCCAAGAAAATAACACTCGGGGAGCATGTTTGGATGCCGAGGATCTACCTCTACGTTCACCGAAACGTTGTTCCCTACAACAAGAAAGCAAGTCATGGGGGAAGCTTTTCTTCACTGTCAAGTATTTGAAAAACAGAAACATTAACCTTTTTTAAAAAGCAGTTTTAAATTGGTTAATTCGGGCTGGTTTTCATTACTACAAATAATAAAAAAGTAGGTTGATAGGTATCCAAATTAATTGTACAAAATATCAGTATATATTAAATATTTAAATTCAAATGAGCTGTAATTAAGAATAGCAACTGATTAAAATAACTGCCAGTCTTGCAATTCCTATAGACCTGTCTTAACACTTAAGACTTATTTCTGAATACTCAGACTCAAGGTAGATGACATAATCCATTTGAAATCTTAGTGAAATTTTAAAGGTAGTAGAGATGTAATTGTTATTAATTCCTCATCATTTTGGCAGTCAAAAAGAGAAGTGCAAAGACAATATTAAGCAGTAAAATCAAGTCAGTTCCCCCCTGCCAGCACACTCCTGGACTGAGCGAGCAATGGCACGTTTCTGAAAACAGCAAATGTTTTCCAAGATACCCCATCCTCCTCACAAGGTCCACTATTTGTAAGGGGTAAGCAGCTCAAAAATGTTCTGCATCGAGGTTAAAAACCTCACAGCAAATTCTCTTCTAAATAAAAACATTTTTTGTAATTAAGAGGTAAGTTAGGCTTGCCCTCCTTGAAGAAATTGGAATGAATGAAATCCAAGTTTAGTCATAACTGAAGATTGTCTGTGACCGACAACAAAGGGCTCAAAGCCTCGTATCGCCCTCCATTGATCTAACGTGAGGCGCTTTTTGAGCCTTTTCTTTCCTTTTCATTGGTCTGTGTCAAAGCAGAGCAGAACCAAGATAAAGCCACCCTGACTGCACACACACACACACACACAAAAGCAGCGCTGTCCGACCCATGTCATTTTAGCCGGTTGCTGAACTTTTCCTGTCCCTTCCAGTCCCTCCCTCCACCCCCAGCGAAGGAGCAGGCTCAGCACCCCACTAGCTCCTTTCCTTCTTCACTCTGCGGGCAATCAGGCTTTCCGCAGCTTTCGGGGACAACTTAGGTCTACTTTGGTCCATTGTGTGTTCTCCGATTTCCACAATGTGCTATTGACATTTTGGATTTCAGCTAAAAATCAGAACTCTTCTTTCAAAGATAACATTTCCCCCTGTATCTCTAACCTCTGACAGTGGCAAGTTTCTCCTTTGCAATTACAGGACTCCTTACCCCATAGATATATGTGTGTGTGTGTGAGGTTATACATATATATATAAAAAGACCTTAAAATGCCAAACATCAGCATATGAATTAAGGTACTTTTTCAGATGGTTAACACTGTAAGCCTCTAATTTCCTCTCCTATTTCTTCGTCCTTTCCACCTGCCCATTTTAACCCCCTTTTCTCTGCGCTCCAATATTCCTTTCGCTCTTCCAGGACAGGATCAATCTAAAGTAACGGTCTGTTAAAAAAGTATGGAATTTGTGACTGAGATAAGGGCTTCATCTAAGCCGGGTTTTTTTACAAATACTGATTTTTCTAGAGTTATCATGCAAGTCCTCAATGTTTGACAGTTACACGTTCATAATTTACAAATACACAGTTTCTGCATTTTCCTGCAGAAACTTTCATTTTATCTAACACCATAAAGTTGTCGTTAATTTCCTAAACAGGTTCAGTATTCTGCGGAAGGTTATTTATTTTTTTTAATACACAAGAGAGTGTGTCTTGCTGGTTTTAAGTGTGACCTTTCATTTTCCTAACTCGAACAAGCACCATCTGATTTAGACAAGCAAAGCAAAGCAGCACCCCGAGGTTTACTTCTCAAATCCACTGTATTCCTTCAAATCTTTTCATACCTATTGCAATTCTTCTGCCGGTAGCACTCCGTGTGGGATTTTCTGGCTCAAGCACCCATGTCTTCCCATCAATTTCATCCATGGCATCCCAGAATTCTTTCAGTGATTCCAGTGCCGCCAGGAACTGATTATAGATGTCTATTAAGGAGTTCTAAGAAAAGAAGAAATTTAAATAAATTGCATACAGTTTCTACCTACAGCCATACACAATATTTAGAAAACAAACTGTAGGTAATTTAGTAAGTGTTAAAATCTAGTATGTATCCAACTGTATCGCAGTAGCATAAACCACTGAACCTCAGGTTTAATTGAAACAACACGAGTAAAGAACAGCTGTATCCCGAGTACAGGCGGTACCCTAATCCTGGTAGTCCTAACAGGTGATATACATACATCATACCTGGATTCGATTTGGATTTTTTCAGAAAACTTTTCTGAGAACTGGTAACAGCTATTAATTTGCATTGTGACTTGTAACAAACTACTGTAAAATTGAAGGAAAAATCATCATTACCTACTATTAATCTTCCAATGTTCTGACATTTTGGCTCTACTTCAGCTGAGCAACAAGGCAGCGGTACCAAATATAAATACGCAGAAATATCTTCAGAACTAAACCAGCTTATTTATTTTTAAAGGCTCTAAGAAATATAACCTAACGTCATAATTATCTCAAAATTAAGCAGTATAAAAACAGGTACTTAACATTAGATTTCAAACCATGTAAATACAGTAAGAGAAGGAGAAACCATCTAATAATCAGAGGATTACACTCAAGGGATTTCAATATTTGAGAGCGGATTAGATAGAATCAGAAAAATCTTTCATTATGCGGGACAATATACAGAACAGCAATGCAGAAGTCTCTCAAAAATTAGCAGCGAGCACAAAAGAAGTAACTATTTCTACAGGGAAAGGCTTCTTCAAGTAGAGAAAATGCTCAGCAGTCAGGTTAACACCTTTGCAAATGCAGATGCCCAGAGGGTGCAAAACATGAATCATTTGGGAGCACGGAATCGTTTACACAAGTGTAACAATTAAATGCAGGTGTACAAAGCAGAAAGGATTGGAGAGAACTGACAAGATTTCTTCAGTTAGGATAAAGAGATGGTAAAGTACAGGGTGTTTTTTTTTTTAAAAAAAAGAAAAAGAAAAAGAAAAGATAGCAAAAAGATTTCAGATTGCTCTTGGCCTGGGAACAAGTTCCTGGGGTCAACAAGAAAAAGCAAAGCAAATGATCAGTTCTTAAAGAGGTATTTTTCTATAAATAACACAAAATATAAGTGGAATGGTTTCCTTTAATCTTTAGTAATTATGTTCTTCCTTTCTCACCTGGACAAAAAGCAGCAAATTATATGAACATTCTCAGATGAAGAAATATTATTTTTATATATAATAAGTTTTTGTATTTTACACATACATATTTTAGAAAGAAACAGTGAGGCTTAGAAATAAAATGCTACATTTTTCCTGCTGTTATTAAATTATATTAAAGTAGGAAAGCACTTAAGCAGAAAAGTGTGAATACTGCCAATCTCAAAATGTAACGCTTATTATCTTTAAAAGCATTTTGTTACTTTTATAATACCTGAAGTGATATAATAGTGTCAGTCACTTAACCACATCTTAGAGTATAATATCTTCATCTTAAGTACTATTATTTCCAGTATTTTAATAATTTTCACACCGTCCTGAAATGTGATCTTTTGTGCTCTGATGACACTTAAATTAATAGCATAATTTTCTGGTACTTGCAACAGTTGCTTTCCATTTTGATTTTTTACATTTTTCTATATCACATACAGATAAATCCTCTAATAATCATTTTTATCTTTATCTTCCGGGAATTCAAAGGGTTTCACTAGAAAAAAGAAACATCAAGGGATTATAACCCACAGATAAGTTTTAAAATCCAATTAATTTTAATACTAATTGTAATTTTTCAATGATGTTCCTTAAAAAGGTAGTTAAATCTTTTTTTTTTTTAATGCTCTGTTCATTTGATCTTATTTGCATGCTTCATTGATGTTGCCAGCTGTCTCCTGCTATATACATAAATGCATCTATAGCTATTTAAATACATCACATGCTTGTCATGCAAACCATGAAAACTATAACATTCCTTTTTATTCGATTAACCAACTAATTTTTGGTTGTTGCCCGCTTTTGGACAAGACTGCTATCATGTTTGGATTTTTTTGTTTATGCTACACCAAGATAGTCATTAATAACGTCAAACAGCAAAACCTCTTTGTTCCTTGGTAACCTCCGTACAAATGCATTATAATTTTTATGAAATATGTCACATATTCTTTGGAAGAATAAGACCTTCCTAATTCGGCATAGCATCACTGGCTACCCACCTGACTCTAAAAACCACTAGCAAAACCAAACTGGTTACTCCATCCTCTGTATCCGTTAGGTTTTCCATCCTCGTCAGGCAAAACATCCATTATAAAAACAAAGAACACTGCGGCAGCTTAATCTTTCCCAACTTAAAACAAAATGAAATTATTTTTAATGTATAATGTAAACCTTGCACTTTATTTCTAACTACTGAGGATACTGACATCAGCTGCCCATGAGTAGGAATGAGCAGCTAGCAGAGGTGAGGAAATACCAGTGCTAGGACAGTCACAAAACCTTAATGCAGTACTACTACAAGGACCCGTCAAATGTGAATTCATACAAAATGAGCAGCTGGAGCCGGCTTCCTCTCCACTCCAGCACTGAGGTCGTGAGACAGCCTTACAGTCCCAGGACACCCCACTGCTTTCCAGTGGGAGCTTGCTAAGTTTTTGACAGAGATATGCTGCATCATTTAACCATCCTGTTCCCTTTAGCTCTCTATAACGACCGCAACAGCAACAGAGAAGCCCAAAACCAGTATTTGTTTCATCATGAAAACACATTTTCAGATTAGATGGACTCATATGGAAAAATAAGAGACTGAGAAAATGTTAGTTTGGAATACTCAGCTCAAGATCCCTTCATCTGGCTTGAAGAGGACTGGTTTTATTAGAGCATCGCCTCCCGTGACCATAGCCAGAGCTTTAAATGCTCAACGCTTCTCCAGATTTTTCAAATGTCAAGTTGTGAGCATAGAAAACAAAGAATACAATTAGTGATGACTTGTGAAAAGGCACTGTCAGTGACTCTCGGCAAAGCTTTCTCTCTCAACAAAGCATATATTCAGCCTCAAATCCTAGTTATTCAAGGCTCTATGAGGCAAAAATCTGATATATCCTGATACAAGCTATACCAACACAGTCCTTGGGACTGAACAGCAATTTAATGTTAAGCTGGAGGGCCGTGAAGCTGTGATCTTAACTTCTGAAAACAGGTGGTTGTAGAGACTGGGTTAAATTGATTATTTTACAGGAAACCAGACATGTAAACATATCAACTTTGATGATTCCCCAGCAGTTTTAGAAACCTTTGACCCAAACGTTACCTTTGTGCTACCAGACTCTATGCATCTTCCTTTCATTTCAACGACTGGTAGGAGACGAAGCATGCACTTAGGTCAGTGCACATCAGATATTCCGGACCTATGTGTTCCTGAGGGGAACAGGCCTTCTCTTCTTCCAGGAAAGAGTCTCCTGTAGTTTTCCAACATTTTTGTTTCCATTTCTATCTTCTGCACTCTCATCTCCATCTCCTCACTGGCAGCTCTTCACCCTGATTCTTTCCTCCTTTTTTTTTTTTTTTTTAAAACTTTCAATTCAAATACTTTCCCATGTTTGCCCCTATTGCCCATACACCATTTCCTTCAATTAAAGGAATAGGAAGGAATGGAAAAAAAGTCACTCTACTCTTGGTTCTTATTTCTAGAGCCATAGAAGCTGGGAAGAATAAAGAGAAAGTCTTGAGTCTGCACCTTCCATAAAATCCATGAAGCCTTTCAGTCACTTTTAAGAGCAGCTATACGCCTATATGGCTATTCTGCCAAATTTCAAACATCTGCTCCAAACCCCAGATGAACTAAATATTAATCAAATGGTAGTAACACTGTTCTAATTAAGATAAATATAGCACAATTTATTAAGATTTATTTTTTTAAAAAGAGAAAAATATGATCTTTATTCTGAGATTTTTCTGCTACAGTTCTTCCCAACACAAAATTTGCTTATCTAAAATTAAAACACCTGCAAAGCCTCCTAAAGGAAAAGGTAAAGTAGCCTAAACTGTAGGTGCTGTTACCTGCTTGCCCTTTATGAATTGATAGCTAGAATACCATTTCATAAAGTGAACAGTTGTTGGATGCAAAAGGGATCGCCTGAATCACCTAAATAATTTATGATTCTCTAGATTTGTTTGGAGACTGTTTATTTCTCACAAGCAGTAGTTTACCAATTTCCCCCTCCTTAGCACAAACCAAACTGAGACCCAACACTCTGCAACCTTTATAAAGTGTCTTGTCAACCATCCCAATTTTTTGTATTTATAGACACATATAAAGCTGGTGTCTGTGAAGCTACTTTGCTAAGAAAAAGCACAATTATGTTGCATTTTACTGCGTTTTTATCAGAATAACTGAAGAATAATCTCATTCGTACCACTACACCTTCTGAATCTTGTACTACCGTTTCATTGTTGGCTGGCTGCATGACCTCATTAGTCATTAATTTCCACTCTCATGACCTTCATGTAGCCAGCCAGGTGGGCAGTGGTCAGTATAGAAACAATACCCTGATGTGAGGGCAGAATATAGATGCACTGAAACTGCAGAACCACGCTTATAGTGTATGCTGAAATGTGGAGACAGCACATTTATCTGGTTATTTAGAAAAAGAATATAACTGAAATAAGTGGATGTTCTTGCACTTGTCATTGAGAAGCACTCTGCATTTATTTGGCACTTACAACAGTAGCAGCAGCAGCAGCATTGCCCTTGGTGCTGATTTCTTACTACTCTAAAATGTCTCCTCTGAGCCAGAATACACTGGCTGTTGCTGATCATGCTGTGAGACACCTGCACTGGCTACTAGGCTTGTCATGACGCACAAAACCCTACCATCTTCAGCTTGACATTGTGCAAGTTATAATTATTCATCCAAATGAATATGTCAGAGCAGCAGCAGCAGACCTCTCATCAGAGCAAAAGAAAAATACATCAAAACATTATCAACCCAGCAGGAAGACAGGGACCATAAGGAAAATTACCCATTTTTAATATGGATGCCATAAAGCCATGTCTATTATTATACGGGGGGGGGGGGGGAAACAACCACCCAACAACCCCTCAAGTTTAAAGTCCATAAGCACTGAAAAGAACCTGAAATAGGCACAGCACACACAGGGGGGGTTGGAAAGAAAAAAAAAAATCAATTACCTGAAATCTATTTATATTTTCTTTCATAGGAGTTTATACTCTAATAGTGCAATTGCAGAATTTTAGTTAAGCCTTGTCAGTTTTTACATTAAAGGTGACCAACAAATATTAAAATTTAAGACCTATCAGTTTCAAAACTTCATGTTATTTTATGAGAAATTAGGTATAGCATGTTCTTTTTCCCTTTTAGGAACCACAGTTTTCAACTACTTGAGGACCTGCTAAATTCTGCTGCCAGTGGTGTTTCAGCATTATCTAACCTTAACCCTTTTTTACCATGGCACAAGGACTGCTCGCTGCAATGATTTCCACGTGTTTTGAAAATAAACACAATTTACACAATTACTACGCACATTTTTTTCCAGAAGCGTTAGGTTCATGTCACCCACACATATAAGGTCAATTTTCAAAAAAGACCGCACAACAAAAGCATTTCTATCAGCATAATGCACAGGTTGCTGGTATTTGGTTCAGTATTACAGCAGGCTATCTACAGCTAGAATTAGTATCCCGTGATTTCAAAACACAGTCTTCAGTTACATACAAATGTGTTCATGTTTTCGAATAGCCCACAGGTAATTCTAACTGTAAAAAGATTTTAAGATCTCAAGCGTTAGAATGTCATTTTTTTAACATTAAATTTTTACTTACTTGTAGTGTCAATATTAATATATTCCCTCCCATCTTTAACTTGTCAAAGAAGGCTGCTTCATATCATGTTTTTTCAAGAACATTTTATTAAAACATAAGTCCAGCTAGTAGCTTTAAAATTACTAATAGTAAACACAGAGAAGCAATGACTGTCAAGGATATTTGAAATGTTGTTAATTTGAAGCAACATATATTGCAAGGCTGTAAAATTAAGAAAATACTATTAAAAGTACGTATAAAGTTTGAGGTTAGAAACACGACTTGAAATCCTGCCTGTAGTATATGGAATCCAGTATAATTTAAGAAAAAAACCAGTATCTGTTTGAATTGTTCCAAACTGTACCAGAGAATCAAAACCTAGAATTACACTTGAAACTGAATATATTTTTCATCTGCAATGGTCCATTCTTGCAGTTATTTCCTCAAGCTCTCATATTGGAGGATCTAAGTTAACACACAAAACCTTGAGCTTTGCACTCAAAAGTATATGCCCGTCTTAAAATCATTCTGATGCAACCTTTCAGCCATGTTCCCTATGTAAATTTAGCACCATAAAGACAGGCTTTATTGATAGGTAGAAATCCTCGCGAGAATTAGGATTATGAAATGCCATCATTTATGTTAAATCTATTTTCCTGAATTAAATGAAATTAAACATCAACTATTTTCTAGAGATAATTCAAATTAACTTACATCTAAGTGGTCACATTTAAATCCATTTAATCAAGTACACATGGTCTATTAAGGAAAAAAGATACATGAAATAATGCAAGAGAGACTAAAAAAAGACAATGGCTCTTGGTTCTTTATATTAACAATATCGGTTAAACTGTGAAATCAGAATTCTATCAAGTACTTTCCTGTTGTTCTTTTGATTGCAACTGACAAAGTTTTATTATGTTATGAAAACTATATAGGATAACAAACTGGGGGACCATCTTTGGTTTTTATGTCTCTCAACTTTAGAGGGTGCTTCTTTTCTGTAAGACAATCATTTCCCGAGCATATATTTTCCCAATATCTTTCCTAAAGATATTTCAGTTGTATGAACAGCTTAAGAAAAAACCAGCCAGTATGAATGCAAAGCATACAACATGCAAGGTATATCTATATGGCAAGGAAAACATTTAAAACACTGTCACGAGGAATATGGCGTTCTGTATTATTACATTTACATAAGCATGTATAAAAGAAAAATGCACACAGGGAAAAAAGCTGGAGTAAAAAAATAAAGTCCAACCCCTCACTAACCACCTACATACTGCATATATATCTCGGTTATTAAAAAAAGATGCATAGTACAGCAGTTTACCTGTGGCATCCAGGAAATAGCAAACTGAACAGGAAAATCCACAAGGCAATCCGGTGGTTCTGTTGGATACTGAGGGAGGGAAAGAAAACACAGTTGTGGTTTGTTTTGGTTTTTTTTAAAGTGATTTAAAGTCAGCCTGATATTCAGCTGCCAAATTTGATAACGGAATATGAGCACTTCAAGCATCTTGAGAACTTGGCTCTTACAGAAACAGTATGTAATGCATTTTCAGAAATAATTATGAATGTTAATGATCATTTAAAGAAGAAATCTACATGTAAACAGTTTTTTCTATATCAATTTTTAATAATGGTGGGAGAATCAGAGTTTCCTCTGTTCAGTGTCCACATTACACATTAAAAAAGAACTTAAGACAAAAAAGATCAAATATTTTTTTCAAAATTCTCTTTAATTACCTGTATAGAAAATATAAAAAAAAACAAAAAACAATAACCAATCATTTAATGAGTCAAGAACTAATTTTCATTTAAACTAGAATATTTGCTCTGATTCATAACATTTTTTGTTTTGAAACGGAAAGTAATCAGAGTAAGTACATAACTATTTAGAAAGAGATGAATGAACATATACCCAAAATTAAAACAAGTCCCTGCCCCAAGTTAAAAGATATCACTGAGGAAAAGAAAAAATTGCTGTATTAAGAAAACCGAAGCTATAGAAATTTGAGAACTCCAAAAATAATCACTGACTATTCATTACACTAGTAAATCTATTGCTGTTTAGCATCCAATATTAAATCTGTGGAAAAAAACCTGTTTTTTTTCTGAAAAATAAAGTAGCAAAGGAAAGAAACATCTAATTACAAATAAACTGTGTCCTTTCTAAGAGCACCTATCCAAAATTTTATTCACATGAGAAGTTGCCTCCTTTTAGTCCTGTGCAACCTTTCAAAATCTTCCAATGCTGTACACAGCAGTTTTATAGAAACTGTATTAGTATTGCATCAACTGCCAACACAAGAAAATGTTATAGAGAATCTTATTTGGGGACACACAGAAAAAAAGTCCCGACTTCCTCACAGAATTAGAGAGTTAAGACAACTTATGCTTCCCATAACCATTCTCCATCCAAAGTAAATCTCTAGATGTAGACAATGTCCTTACCAGGCATCTGGCAATCAATTTATCAGAATTTTTAGAACGTATCTTTATTCTATGTAAAATGTAATTCTACGGTAATCAACTTCAAATTGTTTTCAATGGCAAAGAGCAAAAGAGAGGCATAGCTCCCCTAAAGCATCCATTCTTCATTGCTTTGATTTTAATAATACTCTAGTGGATTTATGGATTTCACAGAAATTTGTTTAAACTTGCTTTTTAATGTGCCTTCATTTGTGGTTTCTGTTAGGTATCCACTTTCTGAAGACAGCTCCTACAACTTGTATAACTTGTGCTTTACCATTTTATCAAACTGGTGTCAGACAAGTTAAACAGCAGTGACACAGCAAGAGAAGCGAAACAACTAATTTGGACAGGAGGCAGTTACAACATAGAAATGTATAGCCACAAAGGCTGTTACAGTTTCTTTTATTGTAGTGTTACTGTTCTTGTATTGTAGGCATTGTAGTGTTAGTGGTTTTGTATTGTAGGTATTATTTTTCATGAAATACTTCAAAGTTTGCATAGAAATAAACTTGTTTTTAAACATATAAAAGGATGCCTAGAACAAACGTTAAGCCAGAACAATTTTTCCGTAGGATTGGTTTAGGACTACTTCATTTAAATCCCAGCAGCACTAGGCAATTATGGGTTTGCTTTCTTGGTAAGTAAATTCATTTTATGCTGTCTTTTGTAGGGTGCCTTTAAACAACTGCCTGCAAACAGATTCTACCAACTTTACATTGCTTAAAAAAAAAAACCCCAAAATCGAAAACACCCAAAAAACAACCTACAGCACTTTTCCCTCCATTTTAAGTCAAATTTTCTTTAAGAGCACAATATTGTACTGTGCACCAAATAATTGCCAAAAACTATGCAACAATGATTCTGTACATATGTACATAAAGGTTTTAGAACATGCAGAGTTCAATCTTAAATAAACTAAGGTGAGTGATTCCCCAGGAGATAGTATTTTAAAGTACTAACCCAGAGCATATCAATGACATCATATGTTATTACAGTTATATTCAAATGTATATGTCAGAAATAATCCTATTATTATTCTTTATAACAATTTAAGCTGCTATTAAACAAAATATTTATATTCTATTTTTGAGCATGCAGCTAACTTCATCTAGAAGAAGTATTTTCATAACCCTTGCCAAATCATTCAGATAATTACCAAGCATCTTGATTACTACATGGCATGCAAATTCTTGCAGTGGCCTATTTGAATTCTTGGGATCTGAAATGGCAAGCACCCAACCCACTTCTCACCCAATACAAAATGAAATCTGATAAATAAAACTCAATGTATTTGGTTTTATACTTGCAAAGATACATGCTTTGTTTTCAGAAAACTCCTCTGGCCATTTATTTTAATTGTAAATGGATAAAGATTTCTGGACCAGGCATTTTCAGCCAAATAAATCAGAAAACTATTTCACAAAATGTAGTCTGAACATTAAACAATATATTCTCTTATGAAGTTTAAGCCTAATAGTTTACAAAAGTAAAAATTGTGTAGCATGTGATTTGGCCAACATCCCTAACTATGATATGACCATTCTCAATTCTTCCAGGTTTAAACTGATCATTCCAAGTTTCCTAGACACTTGACAAATGCAGTTTATAGAGAAGTCTTTTGAAAGGACAGTTCCTAACACGAAGCACATCAAGACAAGGATAACAGGTGGAAGCATTTGACAATGCATTAAGGAAAAGTCTTGCGGCAAGTTTAAATGCCAGACGTGGTTTAAAAAGGACAAGCAATTGATCATCACAACAATCACTTGGAAAACAAAAATAAAAACTGATGATTACTCGTTACAACAGATAAATTGAATAATCTAGTCTATTACACTATATCCTTAGTTAGACCGTGCTTTCTTCTGCTAACAAGAGTCTCAACTTCAGATATTTTATTACTATAAAGAAAATATACAAGTTTTTAGAAGAACAAAAAATGGTAATCTCAATTCCCCTTACAGTAGAGCGGTAAGTTAAGGCTAAACAGAACCAGTCAATGCATAAGTGTAATAGTGTTTGACCATGGCAGCTGCTTGATAAAAATGGGTATTACACTGTATTTTTTTTCCCTGCACTTTTATATTTCCAAATAGTTAAAATACTTCACTTCAGCTGCCATAAAATCAAGAAGAAACTTAGGGGCAACAGGCTGCACTTAATTTCTAGTGTCATACCAAGTATGGGATAGCAGCTCCCTTATAAACAGTGATAACACAGTCTGGTTAGTCTCCTTGCATGTTAAATAGACCATAATTGTACTTCCTGGATACATTTTTCCATCAATGTATTTAATAACGGACTGAGTAGCAAATTAATTATGCATTCATTACTCTGTGTATGAGTTCAGTTCTAAGTACCAGGAAGAATTAAAATTTTTCTGCTTCCGCACACGCCTTGGATTTGCTTTGCAAGCACTGTCAAAATCAGCCAATTATTTAGACTAAAAAAATATTTTTTTTAAAATAAGGAACTCACTTCTGTAGTCAGTTTTTCATACATCTTTATATCTACAGCTTTAAAAGTAAGACGTGCTAAAGAAGCAACCCAGCATCCTCTAATTCTTGTTATATGCATAGTCTCTGGATGGAGTGATAATGAATGAAAGTCTCCCAGATGGCTTTGTCTGTAATCCAGTAAAATAACTGCAATATCATAAAGTGTTTTTCATGTGATGCACAGTTTCATATGAAAAGATTCCTACAGATAACCATAAGGCAATATTAATTTTAAATATATTTGAAAGTCTGAAAACTCTTTATAAAAAAATTTCTCAAAAAACCCCCCACCATTATCTTGCAGAACAGACATACTAACAAACAAACCAACTCTCTAAAATCCTTATGAATTAAGAAAAATCCATTTATTTCGAGGAAGCTTTAAAACATTTTCTCCCACATAAATTCACCTTTGCATTTAACTTCAGAGTGACGAGATGCTGTCTACCACAAGAGTCTTCAGCTTTTAGCTTGACTGCGGTAAGGCCAGTATCCACGTACACGACTCTGAAAGAGAAAAGAACACTCTTAACAGCGCCGTTAAGAAGTATGGTTTGAAATGTCTGCAATACTCTTATTAGTCCGTTACAAATATTAATCAGAGGAAGTCCTATATGCCAACCATTTCTGCTGTTCTAGATTTACTGCTGTTAATACACCAGTCTACTGCTTAATGCAGTCATATATCTTTGGGTTATTTACAATGTGTGTCAAGGCTCATGCTGTGGTCAGTGAGCACTGTGTTTCAGTTTTCCATCACTGGAACCTTTGACACACACAGCATGTTCCTGTCAGCCTCTACTTATGTACACATTAAACTTCCTGTCAAATCTTTGATCCATTTCTGCAGTTCCTTACTGTATGAGACTTTTATGCTCCTGATTTGCTTTTCTCTTCAATGAAGTTCTCTTTTGTTATCAATACTATTATTGTGGAAAATTCAGTGGATATTCGTTCATATTCTGAAATTGATTTTCTGCAGAAAACAGTACCCAAACAGGTACCAAATGAGTTATTTATGATGATTTGCCTTCATTTCATGACAGTTTTACACAGTATACATGCGCTCAAGCAAGTAGCAAGTACATACTAAATGTAGGTAAGTCTTAAAACTTCTGACATAATCACTGCCTATTTGCTTAAGATGTCACCGATTTGTGCTTCCTACAACAATGAAGATGAATACAATTGCAAAATACATTGTTCTCTAGAAGTATGTTCTGCTGACTAGCTTCAACTGCCAAAAAGGTTCAAACTTCTCCATATATTTACCAATGAACTGGGCACATGGATATTTTGGCATTTTTACTATGTCATTCTTATGTAAAGATAAAAAGCAGTCCAAGATTATTGTAAAACTTATCACCTAGACTGATGGAAAGGCCTATCAGAGTTCAAAGAAAGCATCTGCTTGCTGACCTAAGTAATTTTTTTTTTTTTTAAGCCATTACATACTAGCCAGTCATTAGAGCCAACAAGCTGGGAAAAATGGTTCTCTTTCAAGTGAAATGGGCAAGAGTTGCAGAAGCCTGTACAAGAAAAAAGTAGGCATACACCAAAGGGTGCGCACATTCCTCGGAAGGAAGTGAAAAGTAGAAAAAATTATCTATATAAATGACATAGCCTCAATGAGGGAACTGAAAAATACAGATGGAAAAAGCAGCGGTGGTAGTAAGGAGGCAAAGAGATACATTATTTCATGTTTAATGCTGATTAATGCAATTAAATAGTTCTACAGATTCCTGGGAGTATTTTGACACTCCTTTTCTCTACAACAGTTGAAAGAAATACAAGTCTTGATAAAAGTGTAATTCAACTGTAGTCAATTAAATGTGATTATTTAGAAAGAATTAGAGCATTCTTCCTCTAACTGGAAAAAAAAAAAAAATCATTACTCCTGCTTTGTTCCAACTTTACCTCAAAATTATATCATAGAGTTTTATAAAGATAAGAAAGTACCTATACCTCATCCCTCCATCTACAGTTGCCTGGGGTGGGGAAATGCTAAACCAGCAGCTAAGGCACAGAATGGTTACTGCAATAAAATATATAGCAGTGTCCAAAACAAAGCACGACTGGTGCTTGCATCAATGCACTGCGAGGTTAGATAGCAAAAGAGAATGGAAAAATTAAAGGGATGCTGTCAAGGTGTCTAGGATTTAAAATTCTCTGTTCTGACCATCATCTTGTTTGGACCATTTCACTCTTGAGGTGCCAGAATTTTAGTTTAAAGTCAAACATTTTTGCAGTTCCTCACTCTATATTGGGTGGGAGGGAACAAGATTAAAAAAAATCTTTTTATTTCTTAAATAGCAACAGGCAATGGACATACATATCTTAAAATTTATTTCTTAAATGTTTAAGGGTTTGGTACTTTTACAATTAGTTTAACCTGACAGACTCTAAAATATGTCTATTAATATATTTAAAATATAAATATATGCACATTATATTAAAAATATAGTGACAATATCATTATGTTCAATCATATTTGTAAAGAACCTTCACTTCAGTTTTACTGACAAAGTAAATTAGACACTTTAGAAAAAACATGTAAGCATTTGGAAAAGGTGCTAAGAGCACTAATAAAGGCTACCAGTTTAATTATGTAGAGCAATACGTTCTAAAATGATTTTCGAGTTCTGTCTGTTATTCAATTTTTAACATATTTTTAGTTTTAGAATTCATATTTAAAGTATCTTTTACAACCAGTTAAAAATGTGATTTCCACTGAGCTTGGAGGTAACAGAAAACAAACAACCAACAAAACAACCAACGAAAAAAAGTAGATCATTATTGCTATGAAACACCACTACAATCCAGACCAATCTGGAAATTTTTAAGACTTTTATTTCATTTTGACTTCAACAACTAGTCGCTAGTAGAAGACAACTATTCAAGCTAAATAAGACAACACCTTTTAAGTATTATTCATTATAAACCATGCATTTAGAGGTTTTCTAGTAAACTGTTCTCTTCCCTGTCAAACTTTTTCACAAACAGGAACACCAAGGAATTAAAAACTCCTCAGACAAGGGGCATACAGGCTTGAAGAATGCCCAGAATGAAAATTCATAGCTAGCCTTCCTTCTTCTCAACAGAATGTAAAAACAATAAACTGCCTCTGGGGCATGAAGGAGGATTCAATTTTCCATTTAGGATAGAAAAAAGGAACTCAGTAGCTTTGTGCCTACCTGTTCTCTAACATCAGTCTACCTAGCTTTGCGTAAAAAGAGATGAAAGGGCCAGTTCTGTAGGACTGGAGAAAGTTGCTCAGCACTGTAAAAGTTGTATGCACTTCTTCGTGTGATTATATAATCAAATAAGGAATTGTTTACATAGGTGATATTACAGTAATACAAACCTTTTTTCCTCTGCAGGCTCCATCACTTTATCATATAGAAAAAAAATGGAATGACCATAAAGATGCAAAGCCTCACTCAAATCCCTAAAGCATGAATGTAATTCAGCATAACATACACATGATATCATTGAGAGCACATGACAAGGCACGATTCCCATGGAAATGGAGAAGGCAAAAGAAGATACTTTCTATGAAAAAACTTGGCAAATATCAAGCAGAAATGCATTCAGCCTTTAGACTATTGGGATCATGACTCACACCATGAACTTAAGAGACACTGGCAACCTTTATGAATCCACATGAGGGTGATAAGAGTCCTACGAATGTTTTATAGTCAATAATTTATCTTCCCAAGACATTGTCATTGAATCAACTAGTGAGATTATGAGATAGTATTAGAAGAGTGTTTCCTATAGCTTAATGCAACTACATGTGTACTCTCTCCCACCTCAGCTGATTAGGTTTGTTGCTGGCATTTTTGACGTGTTCTTAAAATGAAGTATCCTCCTTCAGCACTTAGCATTGGAAATTGGACACAATTTTATAACCTGTTGAACTGTGACTTTTGTGTACAAGTATTTGAATATGAAAGCATATTCACCCTCCCCCACACCTAAATTAGGTCAAAGAATCAAGTTTTCTGTATCACAAAGTGATTATATCTAATCACAGCAGCAAGCCCATTTGCACTCTTCATTACTGTTTGTACTTTCAGTGGTTTAGGAGGAAAGAGGTGGAAGATCATTGCAGATAATGTCCTCAATTTGTTTCTGAGAAACTTCACATATTCCTTAGATGAAAGCCATTAGAACACAATGAATTTGTGCCACACCTGAGAGCTTCTTAACTCACTTCAGAGGTAAAGGAACCATGGCCTATTGCTTTGATTCTCTTTCAAACAAAACATCCTTCAGTTTTTCAGTTGGATTCGGACACAGTCAGCTTCCAGCATGACCCAAAACTCACTAGGAAAAACTAAATCTAGGGTCCACAACAAGCCAATTCTTTTCTAAGAAAAATCCTGATAAATAAAGCTGGAGGCTTCTCAAGGTGCGAGCAGTGATTGATCCTTACTGCCAGTACTAAATGCAGACTTAGTTTTGTGCTGAAAGACCATACACCAGGGTGGTTTTTTACTAACATGCAAATACGCATCATCGGCAACTCAAAATCAGTCTAGGTTAAGAGGCCTTCTTAGTACTTCATTATACTGTTAAAAGCACACTAAAATTAAGGTGTAACTTACTAATGTACTTCAAACCACCTCTCTAGGTTATTCTCTTTCCAACTTATAGTAAATCAGATCCCCTATGTACAGCTTAGCCCTTTGATTAATGATTGACTTCACCAACCAAAAAACCCCAGAGACCTTACCTGTAACATAAATCAAGAGGCGTATGTTTACTGAATTACATTAATACACTGGACAAAAGAACAGCAAAGTTGTGTGCCTACATGAAGAAAATCTTTGCCTAGAAACCAGGTGAAATTCTGTCCTAGAAGCACGTTCTCTTATAAACGCTGATGTGCTTTTTAATAATAAACCACTGGATGTTTTGTATGTACAGCAAGTCAAAAGAAATACCAGTTTTGAAATAAGTTACTAAATTGTATTTTGAAAGTGTCTTTTTAGTACATTTAGCTATATACTATATATATCCAATTATAAATATAGTATATTTCATATATTTATATCTTTA